TGGTTGTAGATGATTGTTAAAGTGTTAAAGACACATGCCCTCTGTTGTCATGGTTGTAGATGATTGTTAAAGTGATACAGACACATTCCCTCTGTTGTCATGGTTGTAGATGATTGATACAGTCACATTCCCTCTGTTGTCATGGTTGTAGATGATTGATACAGATACATTCCCTCTGTGGTCATGGTTGTAGATGATTGATACAGTCACATTCCCTCTGTGGTCATGGTTATGATTGATACAGACACATTCCCTCTGTTGTCATGGTTGTAGATGATTGATACAGACACATTCCCTCTGTTGTCATGGTTGTAGATGATTGATACAGACACATTCCCTCTGTTGTCATGGTTGTAGATGATTGATACAGACACATTCCCTTTTATTGTCACGGTTGTAGATGATTGATACAGACACATTCCCTCTGTTGTCATGGTTGTAGATGATTGATACAGACACATGCCCTCTGTTGTCATGGTTGTAGATGATTGATACAGACACATTCCCTCTGTTGTCATGGTTGTAGATGATTGATACAGACACATTCCCTTTGTTGTCATGGTTGTAGATGATTGATACAGACACATGCCCTCTGTTGTCATGGTTGTAGGTGATTGATACAGACACATTCCCTCTGTTGTCACGGTTGTAGATGATTGTTAAAGTGATACAGACACATGCCCTCTGTTGTCATGGTTGTAGATGATTGTTAAAGTGATACAGACACATTCCCTCTGTTGTCATGGTTATAGATGATTGTTAAAGTGATACAGACACATTCCCTCTGTTGTCATGGTTATAGATGATTGTTAAAGTGATACAGACACGTGCCCTCTGTTGTCATGGTTGTAGATGATTGTTAAAGTGATACAGACACATGCCCTCTGTTGTCATGGTTGTAGGTGATTGTTAAAGTGATACAGACACATGCCCTCTGTTGTCATGGTTGTAGATGATTGTTAAAGTGATACAGACACATTCCCTCTGTTGTCAGGGTTGTAGATGATTGTTAAAGTGATTCAGACAAATGCCCTCTGTTGTCACGGTTGGAGATGATTGCTGAAGTGATACAGACACATTCCCTCTGTGGTCATGGTTGTAGATGATTGATACAGACACATTCCCTCTGTTGTCATGGTTGTAGATGATTGATACAGACACATGCCCTCTGTTGTCATGGTTGTAGATGATTGTTAAAGTGATTCAGACACATGCCCTCTGTTGTCATGGTTGTAGGTGGTTGTTAAAGTGATACAGACACATGCCCTCTGTTGTCATGGTTGTAGATGATTGTGAAAGTGATACAGACACATGCCCTCTGTTGTCATGGTTGTAGATGATTGTTAAAGTGATACAGACACATTCCCTCTGTTGTCATGGTTGTAGATGATTGTTTAAGTGATACAGACACATTCCCTCTGTTGTCACGGTTGTAGAGGTTTGTTAAAGTGATACAGACACATGCCCTCTGTTGTCATGGTTGTAGATGATTGTTAAAGTGATACAGACACATTCCCTCTGTTGTCATGGTTGTAGATGATTGTTAAAGTGATACAGACACATTCCCTCTGTTGTCATGGTTGTAGATGATTGTTTAAGTGATACAGACACATTCCCTCTGTTGTCACGGTTGTAGAGGTTTGTTAAAGTGATACAGACACATGCCCTCTGTTGTCATGGTTGTAGATGATTGTTAAAGTGATACAGACACATGCCCTCCGTTGTCATGGTTGTAGATGATTGATACAGACACATGCCCTCTGTTGTCATGGTTGTAGATGATTGTTAAAGTGATAAAGACACATGCCCTCTGTTGTCATGGTTGTAGATGATTGTTAAAGTGATACAGACACATTCCCTCTGTTGTCATGGTTGTAGGTGATTGTTTAAGTGATACAGACACATTCCCTCTGTTGTCACGGTTGTAGAGGTTTGTTAAAGTGATACAGACACATGCCCTCTGTTGTCATGGTTGTAGATGATTGTTAAAGTGATACAGACACATGCCCTCCGTTGTCATGGTTGTAGATGATTGATACAGACACATGCTCTCTGTTGTCATGGTTGTAGATGATTGTTAAAGTGATAAAGACACATGCCCTCTGTTGTCATGGTTGTAGATGATTGTTAAAGTGATACAGACACATTCCCTCTGTTGTCATGGTTGTAGGTGATTGTTTAAGTGATACAGACACATTCCCTCTGTTGTCACGGTTGTAGAGGTTTGTTAAAGTGATACAGACACATGCCCTCCGTTGTCATGGTTGTAGATGATTGATACAGACACATGCCCTCTGTTGTCATGGTTGTAGATGATTGTTAAAGTGATAAAGACACATTCCCTCTGTTGTCATGGTTGTAGATGATTGTTAAAGTGATACAGACACATTCCCTCTGTTGTCATGGTTGTAGGTGGTTGTTAAAGTGATACAGACACATGCCACCGTTGTCATGGTTGTAGATGATTGATACAGACACATGCCCTCTGTTGTCATGGTTGTAGATGATTGTTAAAGTGATAAAGACACATGCCCTCTGTTGTCATGGTTGTAGATGATTGTTAAAGTGATACAGACACATTCCCTCTGTTGTCATGGTTGTAGATGATTGATACAGTCACATTCCCTCTGTTGTCATGGTTGTAGATGATTGATACAGATACATTCCCTCTGTGGTCATGGTTGTAGATGATTGATACAGTCACATTCCCTCTGTGGTCATGGTTATGATTGATACAGACACATTCCCTCTGTTGTCATGGTTGTAGATGATTGATACAGACACATTCCCTCTGTTGTCATGGTTGTAGATGATTGATACAGACACATTCCCTCTGTTGTCATGGTTGTAGATGATTGATACAGACACATTCCCTTTTATTGTCACGGTTGTAGATGATTGATACAGACACATTCCCTCTGTTGTCATGGTTGTAGATGATTGATACAGACACATGCCCTCTGTTGTCATGGTTGTAGATGATTGATACAGACACATTCCCTCTGTTGTCATGGTTGTAGATGATTGATACAGACACATTCCCTTTGTTGTCATGGTTGTAGATGATTGATACAGACACATTCCCTCTGTTGTCATGGTTGTAGATGATTGATACAGACACATTCCCTCTGTTGTCACGGTTGTAGATGATTGATATAGACACATTCCCTCTGTTGTCACGGTTGTAGATGATTGATACAGACACATTCCCTCTGTTGTCATGGTTGTAGATGATTGATACAGACACATTCCCTCTGTTGTCATGGTTGTAGATGATTGATACAGACACATGCCCTCTGTTGTCATGGTTGTAGATGATTGATACAGACACATTCCCTCTGTTGTCATGGTTGTAGATGATTGATACAGACACATTCCCTCTTTTGTCATGGTTGTAGATGATTGATACAGACACATTCCCTTTTATTGTCATGGTTGTAGATGATTGATACAGACACATTCCCTCTGTTGTCATGGTTGTAGATGATTGATACAGACACATGCCCTCTGTTGTCATGGTTGTAGATGATTGATACAGACACATTCCCTCTGTTGTCATGGTTGTAGATGATTGATACAGACACATTCCCTTTGTTGTCATGGTTGTAGATGATTGATACAGACACATTCCCTCTGTTGTCATGGTTGTAGATGATTGATACAGACACATTCCCTCTGTTGTAATGGTTGTAGATGATTGATATAGACACATTCCCTCTGTTGTCACGGTTGTAGATGATTGATACAGACACATGCCCTCTGTTGTCATGGTTGTAGATGATTGATATAGACACATTCCCTCTGTTGTCATGGTTGTAGATGATTGATACAGACACATGCCCTCTGTTGTCATGGTTGTAGATCATTGATACAGACACATTCCCTCTGTTGTCATGGTTGTAGATGATTGATACAGACACATGCCCTCTGTTGTCATGGTTGTAGATGATTGATATAGACACATTCCCTCTGTTGTCATGGTTGTAGATGATTGATACAGACACATTCCCTCTGTTGTCATGGTTGTAGATGATTAATACAGACACATGCCTTCTGTTGTCATGGTTATAGATGATTGATACAGACACATTCCCTCTGTTGTCATGGTTGTAGATGATTGATACAGACACATGCCCTCTGTTGTCATGGTTGTAGATGATTGTTAAAGTGATACAGACACATGCCCTCTGTTGTCACGGTTGTAGATGATTAATACAGACACATGCCTTCTGTTGTCATGGTTATAGATGATTGTTAAAGTGATACAGACACATTCCCTCTGTTGTCATGGTTGTAGATGATTAATACAGACACATGCCTTCTGTTGTCATGGTTATAGATGATTGATACAGACACATTCCCTCTGTTGTCACGGTTGTAGATGATTGATACAGACACATTCCCTCTGTTGTCACGGTTGTAGATGATTGTTAAAGTGATACAGACACATGCCCTCTGTTGTCATGGTTGTAGATGATTGTTAAAGTGATACAGACACATGCCCTCTGTTGTCACGGTTGTAGATGATTAATACAGACACATGCCTTCTGTTGTCATGGTTATAGATGATTGTTAAAGTGATACAGACACATTCCCTCTGTTGTCATGGTTGTAGATGATTAATACAGACACATGCCTTCTGTTGTCATGGTTATAGATGATTGATACAGACACATTCCCTCTGTTGTCACGGTTGTAGATGATTGATACAGACACATTCCCTCTGTTGTCACGGTTGTAGATGATTGTTAAAGTGATACAGACACATGCCCTCTGTTGTCATGGTTGTAGATGATTGTTAAAGTGATACAGACACATGCCCTCTGTTGTCATGGTTGTAGAGGTTTGTTAAAGTGATACAGACACATGCCCTCTGTTGTCATGGTTGTAGATGATTGATACAGACACGTGCCCTCTGTTGTCATGGTTGTAGATGATTGTTAAAGTGATACAAACACATGCCCTCTGTTTAAGTTGATTTTTCAATGTTTTTCTTTCAGGCGGAGAACAGGAGGAAACAGAAGAAAGTCAAGATGCAAGTGAAACCTCATTTGCTCTTCAGAGTGAGTATAGTTGACTTACTATGAGACTAAACTCTGTGGTCATTTCCAGATCTAGACATTGTAATAATAATGCCTTGTGTGTAACTGAGAAACTCTTTCTGTAATTACAGTTATCATGATTATATTGCTTGTCAGACGTTTTAAAATTTGAGTTACCTGACCAGACAAAGTATATTCTATTTGCAACTTAAATATATTACGCTTGCAAGAACTGTGAATTGCCCTTAGCCAAATCGTTCGTTAGGAGACTCAAAGAGGAGCCTTCATACAAAGAGTTAACTTTCAGTTCACACTTTGATATTTCCTTCAGTGGTGTTTTTCTTTTTAAGAAGCAAGGATTTTTTCAAGCGCAACACAATGGATCTGGTGTTTTTTCTTGATGAGTTGGCTGATGACCCCGACAGCATGAGTCATTGCTCCCAATATCAATAACTGGATTGTCTGGTCATGACTTGATTATTTACAGACTGTCATCATATAGCTGGAATATTGCTGAGTGTGACGTCAAACAACAAACACACACTGACAACAGGGTTATACACAACTCAGAAATGTGCATCCAGTGTCAAGAATGGACACAGATAAGAAATATATTGCATTCCGAAGGATGCATAATAATATTCATGGTACCAAATTCTTGACAAGAATTATTAAGGTCCTGTAATTAGAGTAGTTATCAAATCTTATGGTACAGTACACTGCACCATTTCATAACTTTACAGGACCCTCATATTTACTATAACCTTGAAATTAGTAATTCGGGGGCCCTCGACCCCTAGTTTTGTAGGTCAAGGTAAGACCCTTTTCAATATTCAAAGGTATTTAGAATCTGAATGAAGCACTGATGTGTTTTCAGCCCCTGATCAACCAAGGCCCCCTGGTGCCGGACCAGACTGCCACCTACTGGCTGTACGACCGTGTGGTAGCTGTGAAGCTGGGGTACCCTGTCCCCCTCGGGCTGAGGGGCGTGGTCGTTGGCATCCACCCTGACGAGAAGGAGAGCGACACGCTGTATGATGTTGTGTTTGATGCAGAGTTTGTCGGAGGAATCAGTGTCAGGTGAGCTACAGGAAGGTTGTGTTTGTTGATAGTCAGGCTGGGATCAGGGGGGTGATGCCTTCAAGTGGCACTGGTAGCCCAGTTGTCACCTCACCACCAAAATAAATCAGTGACTAAATTTGATACTGCCTTGTGCTTAATTCTTACGAAACTTCTACCTCTATTACATTTTTGCCATAAATCCTGTATTTTGGCTTCAGTCACAACAATTAAACTTTTCAGATTTTCAACAGACGTCCTCTTCACTGTCAATCACACAATTAGTTGTTCCCCAGAGAGGCACCACAATTTATTATAAAGAGTAACGTCTCTTAGGCATACCAGAAACATATGATCATGGCTTCGAATCATGAATTGGCGCTGTCTTTCGAGGTATATCACATCCATGCTCATTGGTTTCGCCTGAGTTGTAAACATCTAAGACCTGCATCACTTAAACTTTTCCTCCATCAAGTTGATGTGCCATTAAAACTGTTCAAACTATCCAAAAACCAAACAGTTGAGAGCTTTCTCAAGGTGCCTTGTCTTTTAATATATGTGACCCACCAGGGGATAAGGGACCTTATGGTTGAAAATTCACATTTAGACTTTTCATTATATTTTCAAACCTCAGTATCGGCACACAAAAAAACAATTCACAAGCTTCAATTCATATTTATTACAGAGATACGTGACATCGATCATTTGGAATCATTTTCCGACTTATAACTGTTATGTAATAATTACAGTGTTTGTACATATGTCTGATGAATTGAAGGCAGCTGTGTATGCTGAAATGTTTTGTAATTATGTTTTTATTACATAACGAACTAACAATTGAAATAGAAGATACTGTTGTACAGTCCACACACATCTTCACTGAAGTAAGTTGATGTCAAACGTCTTTAGGACATCACAGCACAACTGTATTCTTGCATGCATAAAGTCCCTTTTCTCCAGATTGGTCATATGGGATCCACGTGAGGATTCCAGGTCAGGAGAGGACCCTGGTACCCGCACTCAGCAATATTCCAACTATATGATAGCGGTCTGTAAATAATCGAGTCTGGACCAGACAATCCAGTGATTGACATCATGATCATCGATCCACACAATTGGGATTGATGACATGCATCAACCGAGTCAGCGAGCCTGACCGCCCGATCCCCTTAGTGGCCTTTTACAACAAGCAGAGTCGCCTGTTACGGCAAGTATGATTCTAATTCTATGTATGTATTGTTGCAGGTGTTCTTCAAACCGAGGCTACCGTGTCCCGGCAGCTGCGATGATCAACCTGAGCCACGGAGAGAGGAAGGAGAAGAGGAGTCATGATGGGGCTCAGGGTCTCCGTCCAGCCATTGGCACCTGGGGTCTCGGGTCAGGGGCCAACCTCAACACCAACCACAGTTACAGCGATCTCATGTCAAAGTCAGGGGGACACAGAGGTCGGGGCAAGGAGCCCCATATGCAGTGGGGGTCTGGAGATCGACGTCCAAATCACAGACACAATGACCAGTTTGATTCATCACAGAAACAGGACAAATACAATTACTACAATGGGAGTGACAGCTTCAATAAAGGATTTGGACAGGTGATTGTATAACTTGATTAGGCAGACCAACTTATTTTTGTTTTGTTTTCAGACTTTTTTTTGAAAGATACTAAAGTAAAAAGGAAGTAAAAAAAATCAACCGCCTCTGTGGTCTAGTGGATAGAGTGTATGCCCAGAGAATGGCAGGTTGGTGGTTTGATCATACCAAAAGATGTTAAAAGATTGTTACCTTGCCTGGCACTCGGCATGAAGGGGGATAAAATAAGGTGTGGCTGGTTGGGGAGTCAGTGTACTGCATCTGAGTGGGTACCCATGTTAAACTGGTATCTCCGTGCTAGCACTATAAAACCAGCATTCAATAATCAAACTTAGTAAAAGAAGCCACACACACACACACATGTGCATGCACGTCGTTGTATCAAGTGCGGTAATCTTGAATGCAACTTTAAACCCCATTTCACCCCACCCAAACAAATAATCAGTGACTAAATTTGATACTGTGTTTATCGAGATATATGATAGAGCAAGCATGAGAGAATAAACACAACAAAGAATGACCGTTTACTGTATATTGGATGAATACTAAACTGTCGCATGGACTAAACATTACTGTCAATTTGTTCACAGAAAAATGGCGGGTTTACCAACAGCAATCCCCAGTTTGTTACACCGAAGGTCACACAAACACAGTTCTCTAAACGAACACCAAACAGAACTCAACAGACTGGAGGGAAGTCACAGGTAAGTACTTATCTCAAACTGTTTGATTGTAAACACACTCACTCACACTCACTCACTCACACCTGATCACTCACTCACACTCACTCACTCACTCACTCACTCACTCACTCACTCACTCACTCACTCACTCACTCCAACATTTTCCGAATAAAGCTTCCTACATCAATTTGTTGCAGCTGAAGCAACGAAGCCCAGAGTTGTTCCAAAATTTGAAACATGACTGTTCATAGTTTCAAGGAATAACAGGATCTAAATTATCCAAACATCACTCATTTTGTTGCAACAAATGTGGTTTAAAAACAACATTGTCAATATCTGAGATTTTAATTACTAATTTGAACCCCAATGATCCCAGTTATTATTTTCTTCCACAATTTGGGATTGGTATGTCTGGATCTACACTATAACTTCCTGTCTACTGAAGTTTAGTATTTCAACTTGAGCACCCTATGTGTATTCCGGGGACCTGTTCAACAAAGTGATCTTAGCGCTTAGGTGATCGTAACTGCTATGCTTTAACATGGGCTTATGATTGACATTACATCTTGTTCATTCCTAGGCCCCGTTCCACAAAGTGATCTCAGCGCTACAATACCAAAGCCATCTTAGGGCTAAAGTGATTGAAACTGACATACTTCAACTGGGCTTACAATTGTGGTAGCGTCTTGTTCTGTCCTAGGCCCTGTATCCATCAAAGTGATCTCGGTGCTATGACACCAAAGTGATCTTATGGCTAAGGTGATCGTAACTGCCGTAATTTAACAAGGGCTTACGATTGTCATAGCATCTTTTTCTATCCTGGTACCCGTTCCACAGAGTGATCTTAGCACTACAACAATCGTAAGTCCATTATAAAGCATGGCAGTTACGATCACCTTAGCCCTTGGATGACTTTGGTGTCGTAGTGCTGAGATCACTTTGTGGACCGGGGCCCTTGGCAGAGCAAGACCCATCCTAGTTGTAAGAGCCGACCTGGCTGCTTGTTCTTTGTACCCCGGCGGTATAGATGGCTGCTTGTGCCTGTCAGCCACTGGTTGGCCTGGTCCAGATTTGGTGCTGTTTTTACAGTAATGATTTTCATGATTGTAGCCTTCCCAAGATGCAGCAAGCACAAACTCCGAGTTTGCCAACATGTGGAAGGAGCTGCAGGCCGGCACCGGACAGACAACACCATCTGGTGGCAACCTCATCCAAGAACCATCACTCCAACAGGCAGCACTTGCATTAGGGCAGATAACTCCTCCTACAACAAGGCATCAGAAGAAACCAGAACTGAGTGGAGGTAGTGACAGTGCCACTGTTCAGGACTCGGAAAGTGAAAACAAGTTTGGAGCTAGCAGTAGTAAGAAGATAGATCTACAGACTCTGTTTGACCGTGCCAGCTTGCAGAAGGACGCCGCAGAGAAGGACGAGTTCATCGCCATGATGGACTCTCTGGAGTTGTCAGGGAAGACCCAGAAGGAGGAAGAGGTTGTTGGAGGGATCAACAGTAGTAATAATAATGCCACGGAACAGGTGAGACCGTCACAATCAATCTCTTCACTCCCTGTCTCCTAAATAGTATAGCCTACCCATGGGGTAAGAAGAAAGGTCTGCAGCAATCCATGCTTGCCATGGTCAGACTTTGTGCCTTGCTTGATTCATGTCATCTTATCCCAATTATCATGATTAATCACTGGATTGTCTATTCCAGATTTGGTTATTATACATATCATGATCATTAAGCTGAAATATAATGCAGCGTTAAACTACAAACAAACAAAATGGTGTTTCCTCATGGTCAAAGCTTTCACTTTCCAGACCTGTGTACCCCACATAGGCACTAATGTACCCATTCTTGGTTCTGACCCAGTATAAAACAATACTTACGTCATGCTATGATGTTGATGGAATATTATAAGATTACTAATTCATACACTCTCTCCTTGTTTGTCATACAGGATGGTAGTTCTGCACTGAAACACATGCTGAAGATCGGATCGGACACAGGTTCAACGCCAGACGGTGGTAGTGTGCCTAATACATCCTCGCCAACAAAAGCGTATGGGAAACAGTTATCAGTGCAGGAACTGTTTGATGGTGAGTATTTGTCCTTGTGAGGTCATTGTGGGACCTAGAACCCATAGTAATCATCAAGTGTATGAACAGCAGATGTAGTGCTGTGACGGCTTTGTCAAGCAGGGCCCAGGTATCCAACGTGCTAGGGCCCATGTGCACAAAGTGATTTTTGCTCTATCACTATTGTAAGCCTATGTTTTGTATATGCGTTCCAATGGTAATAGCAAAGATCCCTTTGAGGAAGTAACAGTGCACTTTGTGATATGATATGATTATGAGTTCATGAACTCTTGATATGCTACTTGTATCATCGTATCAAATATTATTGTGATGCTTTTGTGAGGTCGTGATCTCATGATATGCTACTTGTATTGTGGTATCAAATAATATCGTGATGCTTTGTTGAGGTCGTGATCTCATGATATATGCTACTTGTATCATCGTATCAAATATTATCATGATGCTTTGGTGAGGTCGTGATCTCATGATATATGCTACTTGTATCATCGTGTCAAATATTATCGTGATGCTTTGGTGATACATAACAAGTACAAGAAGCACCATGCAGTGTTCAGTGTAATCATATATTGCATTAACATGTGAGGTGAGGTGAAATTGGGTTTAATGTCGCGTCCAAGATTATTGCACTTATTAGCAACGTGCATGAACGTGTGTGTGTGTGTGGCTGCTTGTACTAGTCCGGACTGATGCCGATTTATAGTGCTAGCCCACTGGGATACCATGCCGCAGTTTAACATGAATACCCCACTCAGACACAGTATACTGACTCTGAGCCGACCAGTCCTTGTTTTAGCCCCTTAATGCCGAGCGCCAGACAGGGTAACAATAAGTACCATCTTTTAGCGTCTTTTGGTATGATGCGGCCGGGGATCGAACCCCGGACCTTCCGCTCTCCGGGTGGACGCTCTACCACTAGACCAGGGAGGCGGTCTGCATTAACATGTATCTGCATGTGCAGCCAGATATATATCTCTGCTGGCCATAGTATCCTTATCTTGATTACCTGCAGGGTTATAGTTCTCATACAGTATTGATTGTATGACATTGCATACAAATTACCAACTTTAGTTTTAAGAATTTAGTTTTATGATCTTTGTCAAGATCTGGCAACATGAGTTGAACTTCATGATCAGCTGATAAGCATGGATGCGATTAAAGTATCCAAGGCATCATTGGTGACTTTTGTATCATGAAAACGAATGTAAACAGGCAGTTCTGAATGGAGAATAATAACAGCTGTGTTAATTGTGGATATTTTACAACATAACATTTTATGACATTTTATAGGTGCTAAACAACAGGAGACCTCTCCACCACAACCCAAGCAACAGCAACAGCAACAGCAACAGAAGGAGCAAGAAAGAAAGCAGCATCAAGGTCAGGGTCACAGACAACAGCAGCGGCAAGGTCAAAGGCAACAGCATCAAGGTCAAGGTCATGTGAATCACCGACCTCACGAATCTGGACCTAGGTTAGACACAGGGTGTGTTGTGGTTTGTTTGTGCTTACTTTAATTGCATGGCGGAAAGGGTTGTTCAAGTTTTCGGTTCTTGATTGCGTTTATCATAAGAACAAGGTAATATACAGGCACTTTTTGGCCCATATAATTGGTACATTTTAAATTCATGTGTCATGTTGACATGACTGACAACTAGGCGTCCAATTAACTTTCTGTCACTTTAGACTGGGGGCATGACCAGGTCAAAGGTGAATTGACTGCTTTGGTTTGTTTATTATTTTTGTTTGTTTGTTGTTTAATGCCGCACTCCGCAATATTCCAGCTATATGACGGCAGTCTGTAAATTATCGAGTCTGGACCAGACAATCCAGTGATTGATATCACGAGCATCGATCCATGCAATTGGGATCGATGACATGCATCAATCAAGTCAGCGAGCCTGACCACCCGATCCCGTTAGTCGCCTCTTACAACAGGCATAGTCGCCTTTTACGGCAAGCATGGGTTGCTGAAGACCTATTCTACCCCGGATCGCTATGTTATGGTTATTCAGACATATTCTAAAAAAAATAACTTTTCATAGACACAACCTAACTCACCAATAGGGACTGCTGCTGATATTTTCAAAGGGAATATTTAAAAATACATTTTTAATTTATTTTTATTTCAATGTCATTTGGATGTGAACTTGAACAACTCTTTTACTGCATGGTTAATATCATCACAATGTACACTGTGTCAAGACATAGTGAGTGTTTGTTTTAAGTTGGGCACTATTAATGGATGCTTTCTGGACAAAATCTGAATGCTGGTTCACAGAAATTGTGGGTATTGACAGTGTGCACTGTACATGTTGCATGATTTCACACATATTCGTAGGAAAGTTGACACAAAGTTGACTTACAGGCTTGTTACTTACGCTATGTTGTTATCAATAGTCGGTGTGCCCTCACATTGCATGTTGGATCCGTCACAGCATGATATGTTCCTTGTTTTGGGGGAGGTCTCGGTGTTCGTCGATATTATTATGTTCTTGTTCTGAAGATCTCATTATGTTCTTGTTCTGATGATCTCATAACGTTTTTGTTCTATTGATTTCATTACGTTCTTGTGTTTGAGATCTCATTACATTCTTGTTTTGTTGGTTGTTGCCGTCTTAGTGTTCACCATAACATTGTTTTTGCAATGATAATGTTGTGTTGAAATTGATGGTAGAGAAAAGCACATGATTTAAACATGATTCAGTTGAATTAAGAAAGTTGATCTTGACATTCTTTACCTAGTGATTTACAAAAGGTGGTCTCAAAAGTCAGTTTGGTCATCAAATTCATACATTTTTTTGTACCTATTAATTTGCAATAAAAAATTTACCCTTGTGTATTTTAAGATAAATTATATCAACACTCACTTAAAGAAACACTCCTCGGCAAGTTTTGTTACTTTGATTTGTGTTGTGACCGGTGTTAATATAGTTGTTACAAATACATTTGTGACAGATTCTCTGTATAATGGGTGTTGCTGAAATATGCCTGCTGCTTGTGACAAATCTTCCTGTATTAGTTTGATCTAAGACTTATTTTGGGACGCCAAGGCTCTGTTTCACAAAGTGATCGTAGCTCTACGACTGCTGATTAGTCTGTGTTATAGAATGGGATTTACGATCATATTAGAGCTGTGATCGCTTTGTGGAACATGTAGTTTCAAACAAAGTGCACATATAAGTAACACATAACAAATAAATTGTTTCATTTACTGATTAATAAACATGATAATGCTAGCCAACACACACTGTATTCCTTCAAACACAGTTGAAAATAGCTTATTCATTACCTTGTCTCCAAATTTTACACTTTCAACAAGAAAAAGTTACAGTCTGATGTCAGGTTTAAAGTGATCATGGGTGGTCCAGTTGTCTAAGGTGCTGCAATTTGGTGTGCAGAGTTGCGTCCCTTGGGTATGTCCAAAGTCTATCATCATGGTTCGAATCTTGATTCACCTAATTATGTTTCTAGGTTTGTCACTACCATATCCATGCTCATAGGTTTCACCAAAGTGGTAAATGTCTAAGACCTGCATCACTTTAGGCGTTCCTCCCACATCAAGCTACCTTGCAGTCATATTACCCTAATACTGTTCTAAGTAGTGTAAAACCCGCTCGCTCGCTCACTTAAACAAATGTATATGGTCCGAAGGATCATCATTTTATTTATCAAATTTTCAAAATGCAAAATTGTTAACAGTTGGCCAGTTGGCCACAGAGTCCTCAAGAAAGTGAACTGATTTTGTTGATCCCAGGGATTTCATTATGTTGGCTGTAGTAATGTAGTAATCAATAAGTTTGTCAATGATTGTTTGAAGGGGCACTGGTGGTCAAGAATGCCACAATTTGATATGCAGAGTTATGCCCCTTAGCTGTATCTGGATACTCTTATGAAGATCTTTGGCTTCTGATGTCATGACCTGTATCATTTTGGGCTTTCATACCACATTCAAGCCAAACTTGGTTTCTAGCATCATTTTCTGTAGAAGTTGGTGGTGTTAGTATGTTGACTATTATCAGCTGAGTTTACCAGATCAAACAGAAGTTTGCTTGTCTTGGGCTTCAGTCTAGTGGCTAAAGTTGCAGACTGTAGTAGGGTAATCTGCTATATATCCTCAATTAAACTTAAACCCAACTTACTCACCCACTCACTCACATTACAGGAACCCAGTGCTGGACCTAGAGGCCAGGTGTAAGAATCTGGGGCTAGCAGCTCCGGGATACGACTTCAAGCGTGTACAGGTCTGTTCACTTGTTCAGTAACACATGGGAAGTCCGGGGAGGGGACCCAGACAAGAAGGCTAAAACAAGGACTGGTCGGCTCGGAGTCAGTATGCTGTGTCTGAGTGGGGTATTCATGTTAAACAGTGGCATGGTATCTCAGTACTATTAGATGTGCATGTATGTCGCCATGTAAGTGCAAAAATGTTGAATGCGACGCTAAACCCCATTTCATCTCACCTCACCTCACTTCAGGTGTGGGTATTGGGTCTTGAGGTACTGCAATTTGCAGAGTACAGACATTCCAGGATCCCCTTGTCTATCTGTGGTCTTGGGTTTCATCCAAGTGGTAATATCAAATGTTTTTTCCTTAAAGCCACATGACACTATAACCACTCTTCAGTTGCACTAACAGGAGTCCTGTGTGTTTGTGCAGGGTCACTTCACGAGCATGGTGATGCTGACAAATGGGGCAAGGTTCGAAGGATCCGAGTGTGGCAGTCGCGAGGAGGCTGCAGAGAGTGCTGCAAGCATTGCCCTGCTTCATCTGGTGAGTCACAAACATACGTTCCTAGAGTTCTAATGTTCTGCAGTTCGCTGTGCAGAGTTGCATCCCTTTGGCATGCCAAAACACACACACAGACACACGCACGCACGCATGCACACACACACACACACACACGCACGCATGCACACACACGCACGCATGCACGCACGCACACACACACACTGTCAGTTACACACATTGTCACACACATATGCGTGCGTGCATGGCGCAGTTAAACCTTGAACTCGAGATTAAACCCCATTTCACCTCATCTACAGGGTTCCACAAACCCGTTGGTCCACAAGACAAGTCAAGGAATCAGTACCAGTAGTATTAGATGGTCTTACAGGCTAGTGGAAAATGTGAAATGACTGTCTTTGCGTTTTCTGTCAACAGAATGAATGGACAGAAAGTGATTGAATATTCGTGTGGCTACTCCAAAAAATATATTTGTCACAAGTCACGAGGAGTTCACCCATTTTGCTACTTTGGCCCACAGCATAACGTGGGAAAGTGACAGTTAAAGCATTTCTGTGCACTTTCTGATAGCTAGCATACCAGCACAGGGTATTTATCATTATCAAGTTTGGTGCTGCAGCAAATTTATTTGGTCTTCAAAAAATAATTCTCGTTTTCTGGTTACACCTCCATCTGATAATTTCTCATTTGTACTGGAGTCTATTCTCAAGAGTTAGTTGTGAAAATTTGTCAAAACTTAAAAAAAATAGAAAATATTATTTCTACGTGAACAAGCTTCTGTCCCCTGCGTTTTCAGAATGTGTTATTTTACACACAAATATATTGTCAGATTAGCACACTGTGATCTGAACTTCTGCCGAATATTCAACAGAATTTTGGACATGTGACAGTTGGGGATCTTTCAATGGACAAGAACATGTTCTCTTACTGTTAGTGTTACAGATATGTTACATTGTTTTTTGTTCAACATATCTCGCCATGACTTTACATGGTTTTGACAAATATATTTTTTGTACGCATATGTTGACAGTTTTGAAGATATCATATCTGGATGAAATGTTTAATTCAATTTTTTAAAATGTTTTTTGTTGTTTTTTTGTCAAAAAGTTTACTCTTGAATGGCAAATTATCCTGGTGAGTTCTTACTTGATCTTTGACCTTTGCTAGTTTTGTACACCACTGGTGACTTAATGCTTTATTCTTTGTACCTCTGTACACTAGACATGTTACCATGGTTACAGAGATGCCAACGATTACAAATTAGGCAAGATCATTTCAATATTTTGGACCAATGTTCATTATAATGAAGTGAAATATATAATGTTTTAAAATTAAACATTGGCAGTTATTTTCAGCTAATCACCATCGCTATTAGCTAATCCATCAGTGTAGGTTTTTTTGTTTTCTATATACGCTGTCTGCATGGAATGACTGCCTACTTCACTTTAGATACTGAGTTTGTTACAAAGTAGCATGATATTTCAAGCTTTGAAAAAAAAGTTTCAGTGCACATGAACAATGCTTTCTCAATGTGATTTGTACCTGTGAAGATCCGGGGTAGTATAGGTCTTCAGCTACCCATGCTTGCCGTAAAAGGCGACTATGCTTGTGGTAAGAGGCGACTAACGGGATCGGGTGGTCAGGCTCGCTGACTTGGTTGATGCACGCCATGTATCCCAATTGCGTAGATCGATGCTCATGATATCAATCACTGGATTGTCTGGTCCAGACTCGATTATTTACAGACTGCCGTCACATAGCTGGAATATTGCTGAGTGTGGTGTTAAACAACAAACAAACAAAACCAATGTGATTTGTACCATATAGAACAACATCCCTAACTTGCTTGTTCAAATTTCTACATGCATCGTCATATTTTGCCAATGAATAATCACTTGTTTTGCTGAGGAAGGGAAGGGTTACACACTTTGAGAAGTTTGGATAATGATTTGAAATGCAAATGGTGATTTAAGTAGCAAAACCAAAGTCAGTAATGCTAGTGGTGAAACTGAAAGCAAATGCTCGTCACACCAAAGGCCCGGGTTCGATTTCCCACATGGGTACAATGTGTGAAGACCATTTCTGGTGTCCCCCGCCGTGATATTTCTGGGATATTTCTGAAAGCAGTGTAAAACTCAGTTTGGGGTTGGCATCTCTGATGTTCAGCAGCTTCAGCGCCATTATTTCGTCTTACTTAGATACATGTATTTGTGTACTGTTTTTTTATATTTGTCTTTGTGTGTGTGTGTTTACGGCTGTTACAGCTCACTAAAAAAGTATTGCATATTCAAATTATATGCTTTGGCAACAGTCCTGCAGTCATAACTGTGAAGTCAAAGTCTGTTAACTGTCAAGTCAAAGTCTGTTAACTGTCTCTTATGAGTTGACAAAGTAAATACTTTTCATGAATAGGGGGCACGGGTGGCCCAGTCGTCTAAGGTGCCGTGATTCACTGTGCAGAGTTGCGTCCCTTGGGCACGCCGAAAAAACCTATGATTGTGGGTTTGAATCCCGGTTTGCCCCAATTATGTTTCTAGGTTTGTCACCACCATACCTGTGCTTGTGGGTTTTACCGAAGTGGTAAACGTCTGAGACCTGCATCACTTCTGGCTTTCCTCCCACATTAAGCTGACACGCCGCGATATAACTGGAATACTGTTCAAAGCGGCGTTGAACCCAACTCACTCACCCACTTTTCATGAAAAACAACAGAACTGTTTTATTCTCTTCAACGCTTGAGGCAATATAACTTGAGATTTATGCTTTTTTGTTATGTCTATTGATTGTCAGTGAAAGCATGTGTCTTGTGCATAGGTTTTGATTTCAGGATATTGTCTATCATTATTTTGTTGTTGATTTCGTCCTTGATGATCAGAATATAGATGGTTTTTACTTCTAAAAACTCCTGATTCACTGATATGCAAATGCACATAGAAAATTCATGATTACAATATATAGCTAGTGTTTATTAGCTGTTGCACACTGAGACATAGTTACAGCTTGGTAGCTTTGTATATTTTTGTTTATGGACATTTTCATCAATGATTTGCACCATGGCAGTGTAATTGTTACATACTATTCAAAAACAGTTAGGATAACCTGAATCTTTTGTATTACCATAGGGGGAGGGGGAGTAGTCTTGTGGTTAAACAGTTTGCTCGTCATGCCGAAAACCCAGTTCGATTCCATACATGGGTACAGCCAATTTCTGGTGTCCCCTGCCATGATATTGCTGGAATATTGCTAAAAGCGGTGTTAAACCATACTCACTCACTTGTATTACTATAGCTGATCTGTCGTGCTATGACAGGTTAACTATAGTAATCTGAAAGGATAGAGTGATCCTTAACAATTTTGAGTTGCCAAGTTTAGCTTAGTAGGTACTAGGTGAAGCATCAATGTGTTATTGTCAACATACTTAATGTCTAACAAGTGTTTTTGCTATATTTTGAAGTTAATATAAATGGACAGTGAATAAGGATGATAGAAATACAAGACTGACATTGTTTTATTTACAAAGATGGTTCTGATTGGTTTACAACCAGGTGGGAAATAAAATTTTAAGATATTTGATAAGGTTAAGATCTGTCTCTATTTAACCTTCATTGTTCATGTAATATGACGATGAACTACAGCTAATTGTAAAAAAAGAATTTACTCGTCTCGTTCATGGTCCCAGCATTGTTGTGTAAATCTTTGGTTGGTCCAAGCTGATAAAAAAAATAAAATTCATGAAAAAAATATTGCAGCAAAATAAGGCTAGACAGTTTTTTTCTTCTCCTTTTTGGCATTATGAATCTTGGACACCTATATTAATGTAGGTAGGTATAAATGAAAAAAAATCCAATTTCAAATACGTTTGGGGATTTTCTCTTCATGTTAAGTACCTAGGAAAGGTTAAAATATAATAGTTGAAGTTGGGACATGAGTTTTTAAGGTAAATTTGCAACAGATTTTAAGTTAGGTATAATACATTTAAATTGATAAGTTTCCTAACTTTCTTTTAACTTTGTAGTTATTCCTTGTCGGGGAAATATAAACAACCCTATGTTTTCATTTTAAAATATATTTTAATGCTTCAATTTCATTTTGGTGTTGCTATGTTGCACCATTTACAGATTTTAAGACCAATTCCTGTCATTTTTAGAAAAGTTACTACAGCCTACTGACTAAAAGTAAGAAATCTTACTGACTAATGACTACCTCTGACCCAGTCAGGACCCTTTACTGATGGGGTTGTAGCAGAGTAGCAGGAGTGTCATCAGTTGTTTTTGTTATTGCAGCAAGCCTTAGACCGGACACAGCATCCGCCGTTCATGAACATCCCACCCCCAGGGATGATGATGCCCCCACCCCCACATCTGTGTTCCCCAAACTCTGCCTTCAGTCCAGTTCGACCTGGTACAGCACAAAGTGAGTAGCCTGACCCCCAGGGGGGAGGATGCCCCACCCCAACATCTGTGTTCCCCAAAGTCTGCCTTCAGTCCAGTTCGACCTGGTACAGCACAAAGTAGCCCGACCCCCTGGGGGGAGGATGCCCCACGGTGGGGCACCTCATATCTGTGTTTCCCCCACCCCTACATCTGTGTTCCCCAAACTACAGCACAAAGTAAGTAGCCTGACCCAAGGGATGATGATGCCCCCACCCCCACATCTGTGTTTCCCCCACCGTCACATCTGTGTTTCCACCACCCCAACATCTGTTTCCCCCACCCCTACATCTGTGTTCCCCAAACTACAGCACAAAGTAAGTAGCCTGACCCAAGGGATGATGATGCCCCCACCGCCACATCTGTGTTTCCCCCACCGTCACATCTGTGTTTCCACCACCCCAACATCTGTTTCCCCCACCCCTACATCTGTGTTCCCCAAACTACAGCACAAAGTAAGTAGCCTGACCCAAGGGATGATGATGCCCCCACCGCCACATCTGTGTTTCCCCCACCGTCACATCTGTGTTTCCACCACCCCAACATCTGTTTCCCCCACCCCTACATCTGTGTTCCCCAAACTACAGCACAAAGTAAGTAGCCTGACCCAAGGGATGATGATGCCCCCACCCCCACATCTGTGTTTCCCAAACTCTGCCTTTAATCCAGTTCAAACTGGTACAGCACAAAGTAAGTAGCCTGACCCCCAGGGGAGAGGATGCCCCCACCCTCACATCTGTGTTACCCCCACCGCTACATCTGTGTTTCCCCCACCCCTACATCTGTTCCCCAAACTCTAGCTGCCTTTAGTCCAGTTCGACCTGGTACAGCACAAAGTAAGTAGTCTGACCTCCGAGGGAAGAGGATGCCCCACCCCACATCTGTTTTCCCCACCCCTGTGAGACTGTCGTAACTTCCATGCCTAATCTTCCATAGCTTTGTGGGACCTCCCTAGGACAGTAAGTAGACACACTCACGGGCCTGTGTGAAACTGTAACAGTAACCCTATATAATTGTAATTAACATTTTGACTCAGATTAAAGAATGTTCTTTAATGAGTTAGTCAAAATTCCTTTATTCTTCATCACCCCATAAACTCAATCGACTCACTCACAGGATTTTCAGGTCACATATTTGTTAATATTCTGCAGTATTAGAAAATAATAATAAATAGCAATAGTTTGTAACAATATTCCTTTTTCTGACTAGTGTTTGTACCAAGGGGAGGCTACTCTCAACTACGACATCCCCGCCATCAGTTTCCGGGCCCTCCACAGTCTCAGAGATATCAGGGTCATGGTCATCACCAACACGGGGGTCCACGACATCAGCATCCAGCCAATCAAAATGCAGGAAGTGGTTCGTGGAACCATCACCAAGGTAACCAGTCTGACATGGGGTTGGGAGGAAGCTATCAGAGCACAGAGGCATCGAGGAAGCCGGGATTGGTGACAGACCCTGCCTTCATTCCTCTACAGGTGATCTTCAGTAATACTTGCTTTGTTCCTACTTCTCATTCTTGAGAAGTAGTTTCGTGAAACCACATTAATGTTTAGCACACCAGTACCAAAGGTCAAAGTAATGAATCTCAGGACATGTTTTTTGACATAAGATGGTTTCTTCATTGGATGACAAATTGATTTCTTGACCATGTTGGGGGCACAGGTGGCGGCACAGGTGGCGGCACAGGTGGCTCAGTCGTGTGAGGCGCTGCAATTCGCTGTGCAGAGTTGTGTCCTTTGGTCGCGCTCGAAGCCTGAGATTGTGGATTCGAATCCCGGTTCACCCTGATTATGTTTCTAGGTTTGTCAGCACCATAGCCATGCTCGTGGGTTTCACTAAAGTGGTAAACGTCTGAGACCTGCATCACTTCAGACTTTTAAGCTGACACACTGTGATATAACTGGAATACTGTTTATTTAAAGTCAACTCACTCACTACCAATGTGTAGAAACTTCCGTTGATACTTTGATATATTCTTGTTAACCCATGTGAGACTTTTCTAATGTGGCATGGGGCGTTTGGCTAGCCTTGTGTTTTAAGCTTTTTAATGCCCAGTTTTCTTGCTCTGTGTTTAGTGTACTGGTAAATGACACATACTATATTTATTTTGGTAGGATGTTTTGGTCATTTCAATTTGTTTTGTTTTCATGCATAGTATGGCATAACATTGTTATCTTACTATTGGCCCAAAGGAACTACCTGGATAAAATTAGTCTCAAGTAACCTCAGACTCAGTGACATTGTTGCCTGAATGTCTTTGTATCCTAACACCATGGCATGTTGTCCATAATATCAAGCACTGGTTTGTCTGGTCCATGCTTGATTTATTACATACTCCAGCGATAAAGTTGGAATGTAGCATGAAACAACACATTCACTTACTATTGAGACAAAGTGTATTGTTACAGTGCTGCTCTTGATTCCAAACTACTGCCCTTTGCTGGGACATTGGGAAGTAAATTATATTGTTCAGAATGGGGATTTAAAAATAAAAAATTGACATTGTATTTCCACATGGCACTCACTCCAATAATGTACAACTTTTGGTTGGTTTGTTTGTTTGTTGTTCAACGCCCAACTTGGCAATATTCCAGCTATATGACATCAGTCTGTAAATAATTGAGTCTGGACCAGACAATCCTGTGATTAACATCATGAGCATTGATCCACGCCATTGAGATACGATGACATGCATCAACCAAGTCAGCGAGCCGCACCACCTGATCCTGTTAGTCGCCTCTTTCGACACTCATAGTTGCCTGTTTTGGCAAGCATGGGTTGCTGAAGACCTATTCTATCCCGGATCTTCATGGGTCCATTACATTACACAAGGACTCCTTTGGCTGAAGGTGGTTTGTAAGCCTACTAATGGAACCATTCTAATATGTGTTGGTTACAATTCCAATGTGATTTGCATAAAGTGACACAAAACCTCACTCACTCACTCCATATTGACTCCTCTTCTGCTCCCTATTCACAGGTTGCTAGGAACCAGAAGACACCCCAAAAGCGGCGCGACGCCCAGCCCCAAGACCATGTAGATAACAGTGCTGCTCCAATAAGAGACTCTGACAGTTACGCTAGAAGTGAAAACAAACAAACTGACAGTTCCCAGTCCCAGTCAGGGAGCTCCTCAGCTCTTAGAACTGAACACTGCAAGTCCCATAAACCTGAACCCAAGTCTGCTGGAGGAGGAGCACAAGCACATGGGAAGAAACGGCGTCCTCGAATAGCTGCTAACCTCAACTTCTCCTAAACTGTCACAGCAGGATGAGCAAGCACAGGTCGCCATGTTTGAAGGAAGTTGTGTGCCAATGATGCATATCATTTGAAGTTGACGTTGTTCAGTGGGCAAGACAGACCTCACTGAAGTATTGAATTCATGCAGTAGCCACAGTGAAAGTGTTTACTAGCCAGGCAGTTTTACTTGGTTTCCTTCAGACTTGAAAATAGTGACTCTTTTGTGTTTTAATTTTGAAAACTGGCTGTATTTTAATTCTTTATGTGCAAACAGGTTTCAAGTTTTGATGTATGCATTTGTATGAGATGTGACATGCAAGTGGAGTATTTCAGGTCATCTTTCATGTCTGCTTGGTGACTGGACAAGACAGTATGTATATATGCTGATCCATCCTCGATCATCCAGTGTATTATATCTCCACTCTTTCATAAGTACCCTGGACCTGTACCTGTGTACTGGGCACAAAGCGATCTTAGCGCCAAGATGATCGTACTCCCATAGGCTTACGATAGTCTTAGCGCAAAGATCGCTTTGTGCAAGAGGGCACTGATTGAAACAGGCCATATCACCAATTCTCAACTTGCTCTTTGAAATACAATTGCTATACCTTGTAGCATAAGGATAGTCTACTACTTGAACCACTAGTTTTGGCAGACTGTAAGTTGATCTACCTGTGTTGGTATTCAGTCAAACATGTTTTCTAACTAACAGTTCATTTATTATATAGTCTTCTGATTCATATATATTGAGGGCTTGCTCAGACAAGACAATCACTTACACATGCTCAACGTTCCGAGAAAACTATTTTGTATGGTTGTTTAAATTTGGGCATAGCTAGTAATGAGAGGTGAAGCTAGTGACATCACTTCCAAGTAGTGGATATGAGTTCAGGGTATTTATCATAATAGAATGGAGATTTAATACACTGGATTATCGAGGATGAACTGCTCAACGTGTTGTGATAAGTTCTCAGACTGATCTCCCCTTATGGTGGAGCTGCATTATCAAAGTCCAGCCGGCTAAATGAACAGTCTCTATACATGTACATGGTGATATCTACTACAACGTGTCGTATCTATGCAAAACCTGACACTGTTTCGTGTATTTTCAGTTGGAATGCTCTTGCTAGTATTTCTTATACTACACAATATTTGATAAGGATGTCCCTAATACAAATTGAGTAGTGTACATTGTTACGCCGAGTCTAGAAGACAAAAGTTATGGCATAATGTCAAATAAAGGTTTTTATGGTTGTTTTTTTAGTCCCAAAGTCCTTGCCAAACTGCCCAAGTATCATCAGGACTAGTAAATAAAATTGCTATTTTACAGGGCTTTGCTATATTTGATATAAGGACTAAAGATGTCAGTTTCTACCACTGATGAATGATGGTTGTATGAGATGAAGAATAGGAAATGGCAAAATCAAAATTTCTCTGTAAATGGCATTAGAAGGGGCTTCCTTTGCTTCCTGTACATCTGTTTCCAAACAGGGTGCCATTGTACAACACACTCTTAGCCCTAAGGTGAACATAACTCCCATACTTCAACAAAGACTTACGATAGTCGTAGAGCTAAGGTTGTTTTGTACGGCAACACCCAGGTTTTTGCTGTGTGAGAATGAACAATGCCCTGGGTGTCTCCATGACTATTGTAAGTATGGGAGCTGTGATCACAATGTGGGACAAGTTCCACAAAGCACTATGATTATTGTATGTATGGGGGTTGGGTGTAAGATCACTTTAAAGTACCAGGCTCCGTTCGTTAAGCATAATAATTGACTACAGAGGAATCCTGTCAACCGGTGAAATTGTTCACATTGATGTAAGAATCTGTCTGAAGGAATGTTCTTTTTTGAAATGATAAGTTGAAATTGGTCTTCTTTAACATCGGCAAAACTTTCGTTTTGTTTCTTTATAGCATCGCATCTTCATTAAAAGTATTGAAAATATGATCCTGATTAGAAAAAGATGGATGAAGGTTGCAATGCTGAATGAGAAAAAAAAAAATGTCCGATTTAGTGGTAGAAGAGTACTTTGTTGTAAGAAGTGGGCGACCGGTCTTGAGCCAGACTTGATTGCCATGATACAGCAAGACAATTGTTTTTTTTAACTGCAAAAGCCTTTTATTTAACAAACCAAAATACAAAACAAGTATCCTGCCTATATTCAAAGCCATGACTGTAGCATTGTTTTTTGCTTTAAAATAAACTATGGAATGAAGATTGATAAACTGTTGCAGTACGCTGTAGCATTTCCACCAAAGAGTTAGCATTGATTTATTTAAATATTTGATAATTGTGTTGTGTTCTATCATGTGTTTATTTCCTTTACAACATTGACCCAAGTCAACTGCTGCATCGTGCATTCTTCTTGATTTAAATCTCATCTTGGGTTTGTTTTATCCCATATGAAATTCTTCTTTCTTAACTTCCCGAAGTTGATGTTTGGACAAGATGCAACATATTCCATAATGTTTTAAGGGTTATTTTAATATGTACATTTATATTCATTTAATGCAGAAAGATCTTATAAACGCCAGGGGTAAAGAGTGAAAGAAAAATACGTCCAGGGCCCACTTGCACAGAGCTTAGATACTCGTAACTCCCATACTTTAACATAGGCATAAGATAATCTTAACACTAAGATGATTTTGTGCAAGTGGGCCCAGGCCTTTTAGGAACTCAGTAGGCTTGGAATATTTCAACATTATTGATACTCTCAGTTGAATAAGGCATTCGAATGTAATGATATTTGGTTATCTAGTTGTATGTTGATCGTCTATCATGGATCACTCTACCACTGCTGGTGCTACTTTGACATAGTACTGCCAACTTGTGCAGCTGTTGGTCAGCCTTGTCCATGTCGGCTCTATGGAGGACGGAGGTTACTCACTGCACCGATGTCTGTCACAAATGGCGACATGTCACTTAACAGATGAAAAACTGAGGTCAGCAATAACACAACTTGTAATAAATATTTTAAGTTGTGAAGTCTTTGTCTTGTGTTTTGTCAGCTGTGGTCAACCTTCTGCAGTTTTCGAAAGGAAACTACCAACGTGAAATACCGTTTTCGACGTAATAAGCGCCCACTGCGATATTTGCTAATGTATTTGCAAGTGAACAATCTCAATTAGCACCCCTTCCGATTGATCAATGTACACAAGACTTATTTATTCGTGTATTATATGCACCCTTAATTATGGGCAATTAATTCTGGAAAATATATCTGTTGTGTATAATATGCACAGAGTTTTCTTTTGTATCATTTCAGGCTGTCAGCATAAACCACAAAATTTACGATCTTTCAACTGTTTTTTTTCTCTCACCAAAATTATATTCTAATAAGAGTTCTAATTTTGAGCGGGCCCTGGGCGCTTATAACGTCGAATATGGTAAAATAAAAATGCCTAAAGAACTTTGTTCAGTTTTACATTTGTGACAGAAATTCAAATCCCATGCTACTTACAGACTGGTCTAGAAGCTGTTCTGGCAACCCCTGATGGAGCAGGACGCTTAATACAGTACATATAATCACAGTTACGTGAAGCAGCAATGTGCATAGGCCTGGAATGGACACAGCAAAATATATATATATTGAGTAACATAATATTCATTGATCCAAATTCTTGACAAGAAATATAAAGATCCTGTAATTAAAGCATTCATTAAGCCTTACCATACACTACACCACTTCATTACTTTACAGTAAGGAAGGACCCATGAAATTAGTACTTGGGGATCCTCTGGTCCCCTAATTTTGTAGGTCAAGGTAAAAACCCTGTACAATACATCAGGATTGAGGTAGTATTTTCAGGATTTAATACTAGAACAGCCTGAAACAAATATATCCAATACATCCTATGCAAGTCTATAGTAGTTGGCAAGTCTAGATTGGTGCAGTTTCGGTTTCTGAAAATAAAGAGTCCCTTGGCTCCCTTTTTAAAAGATAATTTAATTTAACAACTGTTATTTTTCTTAAAATATTTTCATTTCAGTGACCAAATGTTCATCTAATACTTGTGTAGCAGGGTTGCGTCCGACCACACAGACCACAGACGCTACTGTGTTCTTCAATGGCCAATGTCTATTCCCAGATATTATGAACGTAAATAAAACCACCCTGAAACAATCAGGTCCACAATATAAGGGTAAGGGAACGCAACTGTAGGCTAAGACGAAACCTACCTTAGCATATAAGCCTCGCTATCAAAACATCAAAAAGAGACCCAATCAAACCTGAGCCATGAAACTATAGACTTAAACAACAGGAATATATACTATGATCATTGCGTGCGTAAACAGTAATACAACTATGGGAAAATCAATGTCCAAACAGCAGTATCGTAACCAATTAAACAACACAACGCCTATTTACGATGTTAAACTAAATCACATGTTGGTCTGTTTACTAATGTTTAATTGCACTTGATTTTATTCAGCACAGAAACATCCAGCTCAAGCATTCATGTATATTGTGTCACTAAATAACAGCTAAACTGATTAGGTTAAATACTGCAGTGTGTGAGCGCTCATTCTTAGTCTAAACATTTACAAAACATGCTCATGACACAGAGCAAATTGGCCATGAAACACAGTGCACGCAGGCACAACCCGGGTATATTCAGCAAAAGGTACAATGATTCCGAACATGTTCAAATTCGACTTAAATTTGATAATGATGCATCTTACATGTACATCAAATCTGTGTAACAGTAAGTGTTCACAGAACCACTGGAACCACTGATTGCAAAAGTTTGGATGACATCAATACAATATGGACACTGTTCACGCTGCACTTAAGTGTCTCTGTATCTGCAGATGGCAACATATGTGTTGCTATATCACAGAAAACAACAACATATCTCACATCACGGTATTCCCTAGGATGACGTCATGATTCCAGTCACAGTTGAGGGATGGATCCTCAATGGTTGATGACAGCAGGCTTTCCTCACATCTCTGGTTAGGCCATGTCCTCCCTGGGGGCTCCAATGTAGCAGGACTGCAGAGGCGACTGTTCTTCAATGGCCAATATTTTTCCCCAGATAGTAAGAACGTAAATAAAAATCACCCTGAAACAATCAGGTCTACAATATAACACATAAAACATTATACACAAACATACACATACAATTCATACTAAGATAAGATACAGTACATAGCGTTGCTATGAATGCATTAGCTAGAATGTATTTATTACCTAGTACATTTCAAAAGTATTTTTGTCTTGATATATATAATCAAATGCATACACCAGATAGACAATTTACACAGTCAATAAATTACATATGAACGATACATAAAGGACATGTAAAAGACTTATAAACCTACCAGGTGTGTGGTCCTGGGTTGATCTCACACCTGGGGACGATGCCGTGCCAGGTTTCCACACAGTAGTGCAAAACTTGTCTGCAGAGGAAATAACAATACATATGTATACAGCAGACAAGCCAATAAGAACAAATATAGAACTAACACCTTCTATCATACATAGAAGTACACAGGTAGCTGAGCAATGAACATGATGGAGCAATAATAGAAAATACCTTCACTCATTCATCACATGCATGCTTGCTTAGCCTTACCTCCTATATCACAAATAAGCTCTACTATTATTGCTAAAACTACTAATATTACTTCTAAGTTTAATGCTTATACATGTTTTCATGAATTTAGGATACTTATTTGATTGTTTAACTCAATAATCACGATTCCACATTCCGTGTACTCGTGTCTAAACATACATATCCAAATACAAACAATATCTACAATATTGCAAATACAATTTAATGAATAAAATCTCAATCCAATAATAAAATACTAACCTTGGAATTTGATCTAAAGTTCCCCAAAGCAATCCTTGTGAATAACAGGTGAGAGAATCGCAATATATACTAGAATATATCTTTATCCTTGAAAGGAATATGTGGAGTGACCATAGCCCTTCTCATGTGTCCGGCATACAGCTTGGCGGAGTACCCAAGCTGGCCATGAAGACAAAAGGGCTTGAGTTGGGAGAGTGCTGAGGCTATTGTATTAGTGCACAGGGCGTGACAGTCACAAACCAACCATGCAGTAAGCATGCTCAGAAAAAGGCTGTGACTGATCATGCTGATAGTGTAGTGTTTAAAGTTGGCTGAGCAATAAAATAAGTTGACCAAAACTGCATTTAATTATGTTCATGAATTATACTTAAAATATAAAATACAAGAACTGTGAACTGAAACATATTTTTGTTCAATTTCTCAAGAAAACTAATGAATACAACAAGCAAGTTGAGATAAATTATTGTTTATACAAGTAAATACAAATATACATTATACATTCTGAATTATTATGATTAACATGAGATTCAGAAAAGAACAGCAGATGAAAGGATGGCTAAAATAAATACATGTACAATCAAATCAGCAAAATAAATATGATGTATTATGACTTCAATCATATACATGAACATCTAATGTATAATCATGTTAAAATATCACAGAAAGAATATAGTCATTTGAGTTATCCAGCAATATCACCAGAAAGTAACTAATACTGCGATACCCTCGTAACCTGGATGGAAACACAGGCTTGCCTTGACCAATCCAGGCAGCTAGTTCAATGAAAGGGAAAGAACTCTCCATATTTATAAGGTAATAATGATCTATTTATCATCCCAAACAGGCTTCCAAAAGAGATATCCTTGGGCGCAATGTCGCTACAATGAACATGCGTCACAATGCTTTGCAGACCATTCTCATGTCATCCTTTACCATTACGTCTCGATCAAATTATCAACTTGAGTTCTATTTGATGTTTTCTCATATCTCATGTACCCTGTGTTGTGCCAAGTTAATGATGTGAAACAAGAGAGAAAACAGATCTATACATTGGTAAGGATCGTCAAAAGAATCTATGAACATAATACGTTTGTATCACCAATATGTATGAGCAGGTGTTGCTTGCTGTGCATTAATAGGTGCACAATGCCAAAGGAAAGCCAGACTTTTCTTCTTCTTTTTTTGTGTGTATGGAATTTTGGTCCCAAAAGTCAGATCAGGAGGTCTGAATATAATAATAATCCAATTTCAAAACTAGATTTTCTTTCCTCTCGCAGGACAAAATAAGTTCAAATAAACTTCCATTTATTTATTGATTGTGGCTTTTGGTTCCAGTTGGTCATATATGTAAAAAACCCTTTATAAATTGTTGTTATGTATTAATCAGTCAAGTCTGCATCCATAAAAATATACTTTTTTAAATGGAGAATATAGTTGTCAGTGCAAATCTGAACATCAATGTGTAATATCATACGGAATGTCTTCTGGCAACTGTGATGGTAACACACACTCATCTTCAGCAAGGAGTGGTCTACAAATACTTCCATTATTTCCTACACAAAGTCTTGTACACCTCTGTCACACACAGCTCTTTCCAGTGAATACACACATTTTTTCCAAAAGTGGAGAAAAAAACTTTGGGTCGAGAATGAGTCTTAAAGTTCCATGTGAACAAGCAGTTCGTTTGTTTAACGCTGCACTCAGCAATATTTCAGCCATGTAACGGCAGTCTGTAAATTGAGTCTGGACCAGATGAACCAGTGACTGATATGAGAATTGATCTATGCAAGTGGGATACAATGACATGCAACATTCATGTCAGCAAGCCTGACCACCCGATCCCCTTTGTCGTCTCTCATGACAAGCATGGGATTGTTCATTTCTGAAGCTGTAACTTGTTATGTGGAGAAGGCAAATTCAATCAACAACAGAGGTTTACAAAAACACATTCAGAAATTTCACTCATGTATAACTTTAGAACTTTTGTACACACTTTCAGAAATAGTATTTTACAACCATTGTCATACAATTAAACATGCCCTCCTTAAGATGAATAAAATAATACTGTCATTCTCATTACACTAAAGGCTTAAAAGATGTTAGTCTTGCTTCTCAGGCACCACCCGCATCATTATAAAGTCTGCTGCACGTTTTGTTTTTAGTTCCATTTTAAAAAAAATACAAAAATCCTAATACAATGTACTTAAACACAATACACAAAATTCATTGAAAATGGAAACAAAAACGAAACATGCAATGAACTTTATGATTATGTGGGCAGTGCCTGAGAACCAAGTCTATTATTTTTTTTAGCCTAATTTAAAAATGAGAAAAATTGGATGTATTTAAAAAAACACATTTCTATGAGGAACTACTGTAAAACAAGCAGTGTTTATTTGTTTTCAAGTGAGCTTTTTTCGTCACAAACCACTGAAAACTATGAACAAACAATGCCATTAAGAAATGTTACATTTGACCAATTTCTAAATGGCATTGTGTGTTCATACCTTTCGACCATGGGAGCCGTGCCAATTTATACTTGTCAGAGGGGTACACAAAGTACGTGATCTAGACTGCCAGTTGTCAGACTTCCATTTTTTGTGGAAGCCTCGGTGGCTGTGTGGTTCAGATCGCTGACTTTGTGTGCTGGCGAATCCCGGACAGGACTCAACCCAAAGAGTACGAGAATCGGTACATTACTGAGAAAGTGTTGTCCCAAATATAACATTTGTTACACTGATAACTGGTATCGGCACCTTAAATCTAGATCAGTCTAGTAAACAAGTAAACATATGCTTTTCAGGCATTATAAAAATACTTGTTCAATTCTGTACACATGACTTTTGAGACGCACCATATCCTCGAATTGGTACAACCCTAATAAAAACATAAGTCTGTAAGTTCAGCCGCTGTAACATTAGACTGTTATTGAATACTGACTGGGTACCCTGTTGAATTACTTACTCCATGCCATAGGGTTTGGTATGCCCTTCTTGAATTAATGCTTGCCCCCCATGATCCTACTTCCCACTGACTTCATGCATGCACTATATAGTGTTTTTCACAGCTACAACCTGTAGGGCAGTCGGGTAGCCTAGTCGTTAAACATATTAAAGTGTTCGCTCATCACCCGGGTTTGATTCCCGACATGGTTTCTAGGTGTGAAGCCCATTGCTGGTGTCCCCCGCTGTGATATTGCTGGAATATTGCTAAAAGCGGCGTAAGACCACTCACCACACTACAACCCTGTAACAACCATTCATGTCCACAGTTGGATTTCTTCTCCTGTCTCTCTAACAATATATACAATTAACAACAAACACATATCAAGTAAATATACCCATGGACTGGCAACAGATCCTTAACGCAATAGCTCCTTTTTTTCTTTGTGAGCTGGAAATACAATTAGGTACTGACTAAATGATTAAATGCAGATTGAAAATCTTTGGTTTATCAACTTCATGAGTTGGATTCATTCAGATATTACCGCCTTGGTAAAACCCAGGACAATGAGTGCTCAGAGACTAAGGATCATAATGGGACTAGTCTGGTCCAGTCAGCAGCTCCTGACACAGCTAAGGGATGCAACTGTGCTCAGTGGATGTGTTATGCAACAAGCAGAATGAGTGAGTATGTGAGTTGGGTTTAACGCCACTTTTAACAGTATTCCAGTTATATCAAGGCGTGTCAGCTTAAGCCCGAAGTGATGCAGGTCTCAGATGTTTACCACTTCGGTGAAACCCACGAGCATGGGTATGGTGCTGACAAACCTAGAAACATAATCGGGGCGAACCAGGATTCAAACCCACAATCATAGGTTTCTGGCGTGCCCAAGGAACGCAACTCTGCACAGCGAATCACTGCGCCTTAGATGATTGGGCCACTCGTGTGCCCAACAAGCAGAGTCCCATAGATTACTCTGAGTCTTTGTTCTTGAGACAAGACTGGTAATTTACAGTATACAGCAAGTACCTAATAAGCAATATCATACAGTACTAAGTTCTAATATCATTACATCTGGAGACATTACTTTATAATGAGAAGCAGGGCTTCAATCAGTTCTTTAAGGCTTCTGGAAGCACTAATATCCATGACAACGTATGACTCATGAAGAAAACCTTCTTAAACTGAGAACATTGAAAGTAAAGGTCACATAAGCAAGGTGAACTTCATGCCTTGTTCATTGTTTCCAAAACTGCCTTATGAAACATTTGAGCAGCCCAGAGTGAAGGTCATCATTGCAAGGTGAAGGTCATCAATGCAAGGTGAAGGCAGTTGTGTTGGAGGTTGAGGTCAGGTCAGGCAAGCCAGCCGACATCTCCTTCTGCTGATGTGGAGTCTAACAGCATCATCAGCTCGTCCAAGTAGCTATCATTGGCTTTCTGGAGAACAAGACACAGGAATCTCTGTCAGTGGTCAACATGGTTCATTACGAAGGCTAAACAAATATAAACGACATTATACTTGGGGTGACGCTTGAGGCTATTTTCACTATAGTAGCCCACATCTTAATGCTTAATAATTATGGTAATCAATATAATAGAAATGAAAAAAAGTATTGTAGACAATTTCAAAGTCGGCCATGTCGCTACTCTAACCAAAGGGAAGTAACTCCAATCTAATCCTTGCTAGCCATTACACATGAAGGTGTGAAATACGCATAATTTATGTTATATTTACAGCTAATTGCAACTATAGCATTGTATAAAAGGTATTGATGGTTATCCATACTATCAACAATACTAGTGGCATTTATCAATTCCTATTTGTAGGACAAACCATTGCATTACATCGATATATTGTAACACTCCTACATGAAACACTCTTTACATAATGAAGAGTGATGTCAGAAACAAATGTTAATTCCTGAAGACTTGGAGGAGACAACACGTGTGCAAGATTATCACCCAACATAATCACCTTTTCAAGGCTGTTGCAGTTCAAGTTCAATAACAGTCCACATTGTCATATCTTTAGAATGAGAGGGAATGTGGATTAACATTGTGTTCAAGATATTTACACTCAGGGACAGGTGAGATTGGTCTTGGGACTGTAGCAGATAATGCCCACACGCACTAGCCCAATACAAGTAACAATTTCTCAGGACCCGAAGAATATATATTCAACCCTATTTAGCAATATGTGCGTGCGTGCTGGAGAGAGAGAGAGAGAGAGAGAGAGAGAGAGAGAGAGAGAGAGAGAGAGAGAGAGAGAGATTCATTTACTTGTCCAGTGGACCATGTAGTTCAGGTGAAATGGGGTTTAATGTTGAGTTCAAGATTATATTGCACCATGCACGCACGCACATGTGTGTGTGTGTGTGTGTGTGTGTGTGTGTGTGTGTGTGTGTGGTTTATTTCGTTTTCAAGAGTATAGAGCAACATGCATGCACATGTGTGTACATTGGTGTTTGTCTGTGAGACAGTGTGTATCTGTGTGTGTCTCTGCAAATGTGTGTGTTTGCCTGTGTCTGTGTGTGAAGGTGTGTTTGTCTCTGTCTGACTGTGTGTGACTGTGACTCTGTTAACGTCTTTTAGTATGATAGTTTGATGCAGCTGGGGATCGAACCACAACCTTTAATGCTTCAGACGGACACCATGGAGGCGGCTGCTTCTACTAAGAAACTAACTGTGTGCTATCTACTGTTGTACATGCATGTTCATGCACATGGATATCAGCCCCAGTATTTGTGGACAAGCAACAACCTCTCTGCTAGATGGAGAGGACCAAAATGACAACGATGAGCAATCAACAGGAATTAAGTTAACCAATAAATATTCAACAGACAACTGACACATCACAATGGTTAGTACTGGAGCAGCAGCATTAGCACTGGGTAAGACAGGATATAAAGCAGTTCTTTCAGTCATACAGGATGCTACAGAAAGCCCAGAGTGATGCAGGCTACAGACATTAACCAGATCATATTTATGGTAAATCTGGCATTCAAACCAATGACTAGCTGATCCAGACGAGACTAAGGGCACAATGAAATAGTGGCGTCTTTCACCACTGGTCCCCCTGCCCCAAAACAAATTAACTTTCATCAATGTAGATACTGTTTACCATGAACAAAATCAGTATCAAAATGTTAACAAAATTAATTAGGTAGGTTTTTTTTGGGGGGGGGGGGGGGGGGGGGGTTGTTTTTTTGTTTTTTTTGGGGTGTGTGTGTGTGTATGTGTGTGTGTTGCGGTTGTTCAATCTAGTATGTAACCAAATAAACAGAAACATTGGGAAAGGGCCTCCATATTGCCACCTTGACCATAACACAAGATGCACAGAAAAGCAGTGCACATGTAAAGGTGCACTATACTATATTGGATCGCATTGTTTATAAGTATTAGGATTTTGAAAATGTATTTTGAAAATGGAAATAAAAATGAAAAGTGTGGCAGACTTTATGATGATGCGGGCAGAGCCGGAGGACCAAGGCTATTATATATTTTAGCCTTAGGTTGATATTTGAGCAAATAACAGAAAAAAATAATGAATGTTTTTTTATCAATTCTTATCCAGAAATGAATCTTAAACAACTTGAGTCCAAGATGCCAAATTAGCAAACGAAAAATCTCATACAATCAAAAGGCACCATCACTTCATCGAAGTGGGCAAACAGTCATGAAAGATAATGAATAGATTCTGAGTGATGTTTCTGAAAACAAACAGACAGATAAACATGCTACATGGTTGGGGTATAATGAGAAACAACTTGAATAAGACAAAAAAACAACTAATAAAATGTTTACTGATTGAAATCAATTGAGCAGAATAGTGTTATCAGTCAAGCATCAACCAAAACCATGCCAAAGTTCTCAAAAGTCAATCATTGAAATTAATCAAAGCTGGGAAACAGAGGTTGGTTTCCATTCATTCAGCAGAACAGGAATCAAACCAGACTGTCAATGATGTTAACAGAACCTCAGCCCTCGGCAAACCAGGGCGACAGCAACGTCTGAATGCATGGCATGCTTAAACCAAGATGGACGCTCACTTTATACTTCTGGTGCCTGAGTTCCACATACTTATTGACATCCCTCTCTGTCCGGGCTTCAGCCTTCAGTTTGGCCATCTGCTGCTTGGTGTCCGTCTCGGCTTGGTCAGCGTAGTCTGCCAGGCGACTGATTGTCTCCCGACTTGCCTGAAAGTAGAAATTGTGGAGTAGAGGTCTTGCTGTTTTATTACCCTTGTAGGAGTGAGTGGGTGAATGTTTTGTGGCACAGCCATGTTACAGTTGTAGGTGAGGTGAAATGGGGTTTAATGCGCGTTCAAGATTATTGTGCTTATATAGCGACATGCACGTGTTTGTCTGCTTGTACTAGTTTGGACTGATGCTGATTTATCGTACTAGCCCACTGAGATACCATGCTGCAGTTTAACATGAATACCCCACTCACACACAGTATACTGACTCTGAGCTGACCAGTCCTTGTTTTATACACTTAATGCCAAGCCCCAGGCAGGGTAAAGTCAAGTACCATCTTGTAACATCTTTTGGTATTACGTGGTCAGGATCGAACCCAAGACCTTCCGCTCTCTGGGTGGAGGCTCTACCACTAGACCACAGATCTAGAGGTGGTCTGTTACAGCTGTTACACAGTGGTCTGACAAGAATATCTGGGCCAGGGAAACTAGTGGTTGATGGTATGACCACTGATCCATTCTGTGGGGCATGACACGCAGTCTGCCAGGTGACACACAAACCTATATACCACAACTTTTAAAATTTGGTCAACTCACAATAATGGAAATGTGATAAAAATTGTAAATTTTACAATAAATTACATATTTATATATTTATCCTATCTCACACTATGCATTTCTCTTTCTTTTTCGATCCTAAGTGGAAACGTGTGTGGATTCCCAAGTGTTGACAAACATGTCACCACTCTGTGGCGATTGGAAAGAGAATGAGTTGGCTGGGGAAACCATGTGATAGTGCAGGTAGGTCAACCAGCATGCAAGTGTGCATGACCCAGATATTGGGAGGTGACCATGGTGATGAGAGCTATTAATTTTAGAAGCTGGAAACCCATGTCCAGACACGTTTCCACATAGGATAGAAAGAAGAAAGAGAAATATATCGTATGAGAAAGAATAAATTTAAAAATCAAAACAAATGAAAAGTAATTGTTTGAGGTAGACATGCGTTGTAAAAGAAAGTATTTCGAAGTCCAGTCAAGGAACATTCAGATACAATCAAATCTGGACACAGTGAAATTTACCTAAAAATGTTTAGACAATAAGTGATTCTTGAGCGACCAAATTTGCTTTGACTGCCAGCTGGCTCAAGCCTTGTCTCCCTTTTGAGAAAAGTTGCTAGCAGACTAGTGCTGGTTTGTATGGGATAGTATCATAGTGCTTGTTCCTCACCTTGATCATGTCCTTGGCCTTGTCGGCCGCCTCCTGGGCGTGGTATCTCTCCGACTCCAGCTGTTCCCTCTGGGCTGCGTTAGCCTCCTCCAGCTTGGCCTGGGTTTTCCTGGAACAAGATGCAGACAGCTCCAGGAGACGGCTACAGTGTACAGCTCCAGGAAATGTATTTACGCGTGAGGTGGGGTGAAATGGGTTTAACTCAGTGTTACTCCATGCAGGACACCAGCCACTCACTTGGACATGTCCAGCTCGATCTGTAGCTTGTCAAACTTGGTCTTGAACCACTCGTGTGCCTCCTGCAGATGCTGTGAGATCTCCAGACTCTCTGAGTGAGCATCCTTCAGCTTCCCCTCTGCATCCTTCTTCCTCCGCGACACTGACTCCTCTCGCTTGCGCGTCTCCTGCAGGGCCAGATCAAAGTCTTAGTGGCATCCCGAGAGATGTGACAAGAATCCCAGGTGGAAACAGTGAACAGAATAAACCCACTTTCTTCACACACCCTATGGTCAACTAGCTCATGTTTTGGATATAGTGTGCTTTTTTTAAATCCTGGATCATATGATTATGGAAATGGTTGTGTTGCTTCTTATTTATAAGAGTGAGTGAGTGGTATGGTTTTACGCCACTTTTAGCAATTTTTCTGCAATATCATGGTGTATTGTATTGGGCTCCACACGTTGTACCCATGTTGGAAATCGAACCCGGCCTTCGGCGTAACGAGCAACGCTTTAACCACTAGACTACCCGACCGCCCCCCTTATTTCTAAGAATTGTCAGTATGAGCTTCCTGTTCAATAACCCAAAAAGGGCACTGTCAGAAAGATGTGTTCCTGGGCTCCTTGAGGTTTGATCCTGTAGCATTGGAATCAAGGGACCTCACAAATCTTTACCTCCAGCAAAAGAGCAAATATGGGGACCACTTGACTTTCATACTATATGTTGAATACTTGAAATCTAGTGATATGTAAAGAACAAAATTAAATTAAGTCTGTCATGAATTCTTCATGGTCTTTGGCCCACAAATCTATCACTGGGATAAATCACAATTAAACTTCAATGAACAGGTACATGTAGACTTTTTAAGGTTGACACTAAAAGTCAAGGCTTTTCAAGAGGGACCTAAACATTCAAGGCCTTTTCAATCCTGTACAAATCCTGTACTACTAAGACTCTCCCTTCACACATGACACTACCACACCCCCTCTCTCACATGGTACTACTAAGACTCTCGCTTCTCACATGACACTACCACATCCCATCTCTCACATGGTACTACTAAGACTCTCCCTTCACACATGACACTACCACACCCCCTCTCTCACATGGTACTACTAAGACTCTCCCTTCACACATGACACTACCACACCCCCTCTCTCACATGGTACTACTAAGACTCTCCCTTCTCACATAACACTACCACACCCCCTCTCTCACATGGTACTACTAAGACTCTCCCTTCTCACATGACACTACCACCTCCCCTCTCTCACATGGTACTACTAAGACTCCCCCTTCTCACATGACACTACCACACCCCCTCTCTCACATGGTACTACCAAGACTTCCCCTTCTCACATGACACTACCACATCCCCTCTCTCACATGGTACTACTAAGACTCCCCCTTCTCACATGACACTACCACACCCCCTCTCTCACATGGTACTACCAAGACTTCCCCTTCTCACATGACACTACCACCTCCCCTCTCTCACATGGTACTACTAAGACTCCCCCTTCTCACATGACACTACCACACCCCCTCTCTCACATGGTACTACCAAGACTTCCCCTTCTCACATGACACTACCACATCCCCTCTCTCACATGGTACTACTAAGACTCCCCATTCTCACATGACACTACCACACCCCCTCTCTCACATGGTACTACCAAGACTTCCCCTTCTCACATGACACTACCACATCCCCTCTCTCACATGGTACTACTAAGACTCCCCCTTTTCACATGACACTACCACACCCCCTCTCTCACATGGAACTACTAAGACTCCCCCTTTTCACATGACACTACCACATCCCACTCACATGGTACTACTAAGACTCTCCCTTCTCACATGACACTACAACACCCCCTCTCTCACATGGTACTACTAAGACTCCCCATTCTCACATGACACTACCACATCCCACTCACATGGTACTACTAAGACTCTCCCTTCTCACATGACACTACCACACCCCCTCTCTCACATGGTACTACTAAGACTCCCCCTTCTCACATGACACTACCACATCCCCTCTCTCACATGGTACTACTAAGACTCTCTCTTCTCACATGACACTACCACACCCCCTCTCTCACATGGTACTACTAAGACTCTCCCTTCTCACATGACACTACCACACCCCCTCTCTCTCATGGCACTACAAAGACTCTCTCTTCTCACGCGACACTACCACCTCCCCTCTCTCACATGGTACTACTAAGACTCCCCCTTCTCACATGACACTACCACCTCCCCTCTCTCACATGGTACTACTAAGACTCTCCCTTCTCACATGACACTATCACACCCTCTCTCTCTCATGGCACTACAAAGACTCTCTCTTCTCACGCGACACTACCACCTCCCCTCTCTCACATGGTACTACTAAGACTCCCCCTTCTCACATGACACTACCACATCCCACTCACATGGTACTTCTTCTTGATGTCGTCTCGGATGTGCTTCTCCTTCTCCAGTGCAGCTTCCTTCTGCTGCAGCAGCTGGCTGGTGTTGGCCTGTGCAATGGCAAGCTGCCCGATCTCCTCCTGGAGGGAGGCTATCTGACTCATGAACAGATGGATTGTCTCCCCCTGGAACAAGATACCAACAGCAATGTCACAGCAGCATGCTGATTGAGTGAACACCTTACTCAGCAATAACAGCTGTGTCTATAGGCCAGCAAGTGATACAGAGTCTGCAAACCTATAGGCACCAAAACCTTGTTAATCTTGATGGTATTGTGGAAACATCTGCAGTGTCAGAAATTAAGGGATCAAAACAAACGTACAATCAAAACTTAATCGAGGGACCCCTAAATCTTGAAGTTGTTACATTATTCTTATAAGGATCCCTTGACTTCCAAGCTTAATTTTGAAAACTCATCTGGATTAACATGTTTCTAAATCAATAAATCCTTGGTACCGCATTTCCTCTAATGAACATCTGCTCCTATTCTTTCAACAAGCGTCCAAATCCAGCAGGTAATGGAGGCTTGGTGGTAATTAGAGACCTGGCACTTAATATTTGAACTAGTGTTGTATACAATAATATAAGCTACAGTTACTTAAAACTTGACATACAAGAGAATTTTATGGTCTTGATACAGAATATATTTTTACAAACCTGTAGAGGTTATGAATTCTCTGATGAAATCCTCCTGGGGCACTTATTGCATTTTCCTTGCTTAAGAAAATCTACATGACATAGTTGTAACCATTTTCCTTAATAAAAAATGTTACCACACAAAAAACTTCGTTGTTGTATGATATACAACCACCCTTACGGGGCCTCACCCTCCACGGCGCGTCACGCCAGGGGAAGCAACTCTCACCCAAATCACTTTCCATATGTCTAATGCTCACGGAATGTGGGGAGTAGGGTGGCCCTGCCCCAAGGAGGATTTCATCAGAGAATTCATAACTTCTACAGGTTTGTAAAATTCTCTTTCAGATTAAATCCTCCTTTGGGCACTTATTGCATCAAGAAAGACTCCTAAAGATAATCTAGGAAGTGGCATCCGTCAGCAACAAGCGTAAATAAATACATCGTATTTTGATTATTTCAATGAATTAAATAGAGTTCAATAAATGGAACCAACCTTATCATGAGGCACCACCGTCGAGAGGCGGGGGCTAGCCATTATTTGTGGCTGATCATATTCTAGAACTCGAAACCCCCCCCACACACTTTTTGGAACAAGTGATATAGGGGCGTAGATCACGAGAGACTATAACCCACGCTGAGCTAGGCCAGAGGGTCCATGAGGATCGAAGGAGTGAGTGTGCAAATACAAGTATTATCGAGTAGTAAGGACTGATATTTATCGACCGCAGAAGATAAAATCCGGACCATTACTGAGCAGTTTAACCGGAGGACGGTCTAAAATCTCGAAGGCTCAATCGGCTAGAGATGTAGAACTTTGCCCAGTTCGGAGAACTGACTGACCAAACCGTGCACGCCGGCTTGAGTGTTTGTCAAGTTGGTAATGTTTGATGAACGTGCTAGGCTGGCTCCAAATAGCCGAGGAGCAGATCTCCTCAATGGGCAGAGCTGCGGCATACACTTGTGATGTAGCCACTGCTCTAACCGAATGAGCATTCAACCTGGTAGGGGGGTCCCTGCATTGAAGCGTGTACGCAGTACAAATAGTTGACACTATCCACCTTGAGATAGTTTATTTGCGCGCAGGTATGCCAGCCTTCCTACCGCCATAACAGCAAAATAGTTGGTTATCCTTACGGATACCCTTAGTTCTGCTGATATAGGCCTTGAGGGTCCTGCGGACATCCAAGACATGAGCATGTCTTGCAGTGGTCCCTGACGAGGAAGGCTGTGAAAGAGCAGGTAGCTCAATAGGAGCCGTCACGTGGAAGGCGTGTGCGACCTTAGGACGGTAAGAGTCCGGCAGCCGAATACTGACCCTGTCCCGGTGGAAGACAGTTAGCTCGGGATCGGCTGACATTGCATGAATGTCGCCTACCCGTCTGCCGGACGTTAACGCCACAAGGAACGCCGTCTTCCAGCCATCTTCGACACACCAGCACGCATTGCAGGCCCATCTATCCTCGTACTGAATGTTTGTCGAATCCCTCCGCGAAGCCAGTATTGTGTCTGCAACTCGTGCAGGAATACTGCTCTTCTGGAGGCGATTCCTGACAGTGGCCAAGCCACCCACTGAATCCTGGGATTCGGATGGAGTGCCCCGTTCTGGGATGGGAGGTCCGGTCGTAAAGGTAATAGAACAGGAGGCTGAGCCAGAAACCTGAGTATTACTGGAAACTAACTCTGCGCCGACCAAAGAGGTGCCAGGAGCACAAGGAGTCGCGCAGGCTGAGTGGTTAGCTGAGACAGTACCTTTGAAATCAGAGGTACTGGGGGGAATGCCCACAGAACTGTCCGTCCAATCTAGCTGGAAGGCGTCCGGTGCCACCGACCTCGGGTCGTGGACTCGGGAGCAGAACGTTGGTGTCTGGTGATTCACCCCAGACGCAAACAGATCCACCTGGAACGACCCGTATAACAGGGAGATAATCCCGAATATCCCCGGGTCGAGCCTCCACACGTGAGGAGCAAGGATCCGGCGAGACAGGGCGTCCGCATGGACGTTGTCCACCCCCGGGAGATAAACAGGTAGCACCCTGACATCGTGAGAGTCGCACCATAGTAGGAACTGCCACGTCTCTTGGAGAAGAGAAGGAGGCACCGTTCCCCCTGCTTCCGGATGTAAGTCATCGCCGTTTGGTTGTCCATCTCTAGAGGAACCACTTGGCCACGAAGCAGATCCAGGAAGCGTTGGAACACCAACCTGACCGCTCTCAGTTCTAGCACATTGATATGCAGTTTGATCTCCTGCTGGGACCATAGTCCCGAGGCAGTGTGATCGTTCAGAACGCCTCCCCAGTCGGAGAGTGATACGTCTGTCCACCACTGAAGGTGTGTAATGAGCCACTGCGGAGTCTCGAGAACAGTCTCGAGATCTTCCGAGTTCACCCAAAGTCGACGGAGCGCTTGTTGAATGGGTCTCATTCTCAAGCGCGCCCGCCAAACCACATCCACTGTTGCGCCATGTTGCCCAGTAACTGGAGCCATGTACGAGCAGTATGTCTTGTGGACAGAAGGAACTGGGAAGTAACACTTCTGACCTTGAATATGTGATCTTGTGATAGAGATACAAGTCCGCTCACTGTGTTGAAGTTCGCCCCTAGGAAGACAAGATTCTGAGTAGGGCTCAGATCTGACTTCTTGAGATTGACTATCCACCCTAGGGTGGTCAGAATGTCTATCACTTCTTGTGTAGCTATCTGACTCAGGGATTGCGATAGAGCTCTTAGTAACCAGTCGTCGAGGTACGGATGGCAGAACCGACCTTTCGACCTGGCAACTCTGGCAAGAATCAACATCAGCTTGGTGAACACCCTCGGGGCCGTGGAGATCCCAAATGGTAGAACCCTGAACTGATAACACCTCCCGTCGAAAGAAAACCTCAGGTATTTCTTGAACTCGCAGTGTATGGGTACGTGGTGATAGACATCTTTTAGGTCTATTGACGTTAGCCATTCTCCTGTCTCGACAGCTGAGATCACTGAGTGCAGTGTCTCCATCCTGAAGGACGGTATCTCTATAAGTTTGTTCAGCCTTCTCAGATTGAGAATAGGTCTGAACCCTCCGTCTTTTTTGGTGACTAGGAAATATGTTGAGTAGAAGCCTTGCTTTCCTGTCCCACGGGAACCAGTTCGATCGCAGCTTTCATAAGAAGTGAGTCAACCTCGGCACGGAGGAATTCTGCCTTCTCTCGGGTAGCAGGCACCAGAGTGAGCTTTATCCCGGAGAAGGGGGGCGGTCCAGGTATTGGATGTAACTGTCTCTCATTCCTTCAGGAATAGAGCCAGTCGGCGGCCTACGGGGACATCGGACTTGAGGCAGTGGACCCCGGCTGTCGGCAGTTCAAGAACTTGCGACTGTGGGTCCAACCGGGGCTCTTCAGGGTTTAATGGCGGCCCCGCCAAAAGGCTGCTGGCCTTGACCAGCTGCCTTGCCCCGGCCCCTGCCTCTCTTGCTCCTCACGGCGCCCTTACCTGAAGGAAGCGGTTGCTTCCAAGCAGGAGCAGACTTCTGACCTGGCATGTCAGCATGGGAAGAGTCTAGGGGAGAGGTCCGCTTATGCGGCTTGGTGCTAGGTACCTCCAACAAGACCTTAGAGTCCTTGATCGAAGCGTAAAACTGAGCGACCTCTCGGACCACCTGCTGAGCCCCAGGGAAGAGGGTAGCACCCAGCTTATATGGCAAAGCAAGGAGGTCCTGGCATGTGGATGCCGAGTACTTAGACACCGATATCCACAGCCTGCGCATGCCCATGACAGCGCACATCATCTGCGAGGCACAGCTACGAATAGCGTCCCCCGCGAGATGACTATGAACTTCTGTCAGTTGTGCAGCCAACTCCAAGGCGTCAGCCGGCCCCTCCCCCACTAGCTCCCTCTGTACTGCAGACAGATAGGCAGAGTGTACGGATATGCGAAGCTGTTGGCATGCATTACGGTATTGCTCCTCGAAGCAAACGTATGCAGCCTTCAGCTCCGCACCACACATGGGAAAGGGGGGCAACCGCCGGCCCTGCTTGGCCTTGCTCAGTGAACGATTCGGTTCTTGAAACTTTCTTGAAAAATCAAAACGTCTTGACAGTCGTATGACATATAGGAAAGTGATTTGGGTGAGAGTTGCTTCCCTTGGCGTGATGCACTGTGAAGGGTGAGGCCCCGTAAGGGTGGTCGTATATCATACAAAAACGAAGTTTTTTGTGTGGTAACATTTTTTATTAAGGAAAATGGTTACAACTATGTCATGTAGATTTTCTTGAGCAAGGAAAATGCAATAAGTGCCCCAAGGAGGATTTAAGTGAGTGAGTGAGTTGGGTTTAACGCCGCTTTTAACAGTATTCCAGTCATATCACGGCGTGTCAGCTTAATGTGGGAGGAAAGCCCGAAATGATGCAGGTCTCAGACGTTTACCACTTCGGTGAAACCAACGAGCACGGGCATGGTGCTGACAAACCTAGAAACATAATCGGGGCGAACCGGGATTCGAACCCACAATCATAGGTTTCTGGCATGCCCAAGGGACGCAACTCTGCACAGCGAATCACGGCGCCTTAGACGACTGGGCCACCCGTGCCCCCAGGAGGATTTAATCTGAAAGAGAATCAAAGATACCTGGCACTTATAAGAGACAAGGCACTTATAGCGTTGTACTCTGAGTGAGTGAGTTGGTTTTAATGCCGCTTTAAACATTATTCCAGTTATATCAGAGTATATATATATCAGTTATAGGCTAATGTGGGAGGAAAGCCCGAAGTGATTCAGGTCTCAGACATTTACCACTTCTGTGAAACCCACGAGCCAGGATTCAAACCCACAATCATAGGTTTCTGGGGTGCCCAAGGGACACAACTCTGCACAGCGAATCGCGGTGCCTTAGACAACTGGGCCCCCCGTGCCCCCCGTGCCCCCCGTGCCCCCCGCGTCTACTCTGCTTCATACCTGGCGCTTATTAGAGGACGTCACATATTAGAGACCCACAAGTATTAGAGAAAATATGGTATGTTGTAATGTGCCTTAAATATGCACTCCCAACAGCAGCTGTGAGAAATGCAATATTTTATTTCTAAACCAAACAGTAGTGATTTGAATATTTTGTGGGTGTCTTTGGAAATGCCTTCATGGTGAATACCACTGAGTTACTATTTCTCAGATGAATTGACATTTGAATGTTTAATCAGATTAGTTTGAGATTGCACATTATCAGAAAAGTGCCTATCTTCTCCTGTATATCGTTGATAGTTGAAATGAAATAGAAATTCTAATTGACATGCAAACAAAATAATATAGCTGGGGAAGAGTATTCAGCATCATGACAGCCATCATTTGTTTGTAAACATAACATCAGTCAGATGTGAGTTCAACTCCATGCATGGTTGTAGGCCCCCTAGCACAGCGGGGAGCTGTGACAGGTAACAGCGATAATATAGAGAGCTCCGCGAATAGGCTGTCTCTGTGATGAGCTTGAGTGAGTGAGTTGGGTTTAACACATATAGAGAGCTCCGCGAATAGGCTGTCTCTGTGATGAGCTTGAGTGAGTGAGTTGGGTTAAATGCCGCTTTTATCAGTATTCCAGTTATATCGCGGCGTGTCAGCTTAATGTGGGAGGAAAGCCAGAGGTGATGCAGGTCTCAGACGTTAACCACTTCGGTGAAACCCACGAGCATGGGTATGGTGCTGACAAACCTAGAAACGTAATCGGGGCGAATCGGGATTCGAACCCACAATCATAGGTTTCTGGCATGCTCAAGTGATGCAACTCCGCACAGCAAATCACAGCGCCTTAGATGACAAGGCCACCCGTGCCCCGCATATTTCCCAGAAACCCATCTGACAACTGAAGGGACTGCAGTATCACTGCAATACCAGTAGCTGAGAGTTTAAGCTAGATGTTTATCTCCATCTCCCAGGAGCCAATATTCTGTAGTCTGGGGCAAATGTCAATGCAAATCCTAAATTGGAATTAATTAATTCGAACCCACAATCATAGGTTTCTGGCATGCCCAAGGGATGCAACTCTGCACAGCGAATTGTGGCGCCTTAGACAAGTGGGCCACCCGTGCCCCGAGGAGCTTGAAACAGAAGGTACAGGGTTATCTTCCCTGGTGACCCACGGTTTTAGTGCAGCACCTCTTTGAATAGTACTTCAGTATACAAAATTGTTTACTTCCTAAGAGACACAGGCTGTGTTTAAACACTGACCAAGGACAACAGTTGGGGCAAATCATGAATTTGAACCCACAGCCAGCAGTACCAGCTGATAAGGGAAGGAACTCATCATCGCTGTAATAATCAGTTTACTTTTAAAACCAATGGTACAGTAATCAAGGACTAATATTTTGCAGAATTTTTTTGTTGCAGTTCCTGCTGACAGACCAAAAACTGTGACATTCTCACCTGCGTCTCGTTACGCTTGATATACTCGTCTCTCATGCGCTCCAACTGGTCTATGTCCTGTCTCACCGACTGCAACAATACAGACACCACATCATACATGTGTCATGTCCTGTGGGTCCTGCATACCAGTCGATAAACCAGGGTTCATCAGGGTTTCACAACATACCAGTATCAAGAACTAGATATTTATTCTCTCTGTCTCTGAAACATGCTATAATAATAAATAAATTCAATTTTCTTATTACCATCACGATCATAAACAAAGTTATAAAGAAAAGAGCATCATCCATAATTCGTTGGATCATAGGTTTTTGGACATCATACGTTTTACGCCATGTTTATCGCGATTACTCGCACTATAATGGGGGTGCGGCGGTCAGCATCTCACAGACATTGTAAATATTCAGATGATGTCTTGGTTTTAAGAGAAAGTTTTCTTTTATAAGTGAAGGATATATTTTACAGTTGTTCATGTGATTGAAGAGAAGACTACAACCGTTTCTTAAGCGTCTGAAAACCCATAGCCCGGGGATATTTCAGTGACTTATTAGTAGTCACGCTTGTTAAATATCAATTAATGCTGTGTCCGTATTCTTTCTGGTTCAAGTAGTTCACTAAAGTTAGCATTTCCAGTTGACTTAGCCCTGTTACCATGGTTACCAGTAATCACTTCACACAGAAGCACTGCACACAGAGTCTCACAACACACAGAGCAGGAGTGAGTGAGTGAGTGAGTAAATGACGTTCAATTCTGTCGTCATTATAGACATTACATATAATCACTGTAGTGTCAGCATTTGTTTTATTGGTTTGTTGTTTAACGCCGCACTCAGCAATATTCCAGCTATATGGCGGCGGTCTGTAAATAATCGAGTCTGGACCAGACAATCATGTGATTGACATCATGAGCATCGATCCACGCAATTGGGTTACGATGACATGCATCAAACCAAGTCAGCGAGCCTGACCACTCGATCCTGTTAGTCGCCTCCTACGACAAGCATAGTCGTCCATGTTAATGGTCCTGATGAGTAAGATATGACATGTACATAGTTAAGCCCTCCTATTGGTCCTACACACCAGCCATTGTAACCATCCAATTCCTGTTTTAGTAGCATTTATGACAAACATGGCTATTAAGGACCAGCTCTATCCACAATCTCTGTTGTTTAACACCGGTGCAATATTCCCACTATATCATGGCTGTCTTTATAAAGTTTTGTACCAGTGACTGAAAGCATGAGCAATGATCCGTGCTATTGGGGTTCATGACCCACAATCAGCCATGTCACAGAGTCTCACCACCCAATCCTCATTTTACGCAATTACAAGTGAGGGAGTGAGTGAACATTTAACATCTCATCAGCATTATTTCAGCCGTATAGCGACGAGAAGTTAACATATATATACATTTGGATCATGAACAGAAATTTATTTTGAAAAGCAAATTTGTCAAACATATTTGGGCATAACAAAATTATTTATAACTGTTCAAAACACAGGCTATAGACCACCAGTAACCAAAGCTAGGCCACCTCACTGGGGATCATGCCGACTTATGGTACCTCAGTTTAACAAAACCCCAGCAGGATTTATGTCATCACTTTAGCTATTGGTGGCTGTGCACAATACTAGCCAATATTTAAACATGCTCAGCAATGAGTTGGCTTAAAACATGAATTGATGATAGTTACATGGATAATTATTACAAGTAAAGGTTGCTGGGAAGATAACCTGAAGAGGAATCACAAATGGGAAATGACTTGCTGATTAACCACAATATTCAAACTCAACAATATATTATATAACATGCAATATCACATTAAAAGAGGGACTCACTTTATCACGAGTATATACATTTATATTCTTAAATTCAAACTTTCCTCAATCTTAATGTTGGCATTAGCTGTAATAAGGTGAGTGAGTGAGTAAGGTATTATGCTGCGTTTCTTACTTCACCAGCCACATCCAGCTTGCATCACCAAGAACTGGCTTCACACATTGTATGGGGGATTACAATCGTGGCCAGCTGTGTGGTGAGCCAGTACCTTAACCACTGCCCCCTAATGTCATCAAACAAGGTGAGCGAGAGTACAAGAGAACCACAGCCCCAGGTTGAGAGACAGATACGTCAAGTACATGAGAACAAGATGGCCGCTCACTAGGTTTACTTTGTATCATTAGGGCAACTTCTCTGTAGAAAGACCAAACAAACGTATACTGTTAAATATTATTATGAAAATATATTTCCACACATTCAAGGCAAAGTGAAACATGTGATCAAGAGAAGAATATTCAGTCGCAAAGGAAACAAGGACAAACTTTAGAAATCATTCAGAGATTAACGCAGGTTTCACCATTGCAACAATAACACATGTCAATATCCTTGCAAACATCATTGATTTCACACAACTTTTTTAAATAGCTGTCTGCCCGCTTGTAAAATGCTAGTGGATTATGATTTGGACCAGAAATACTTTTTTGAAGGTAGATTGACTATAGTCAAAAGTCCCAAGCATCTTTTTTTTATTGCAACGATTCATTAATGCAAAAAGTGGGCTAATGCCTTTGACATTTTGTATTCACATGGTTATCTGGGGAAGTTTAAAACAGGGTTCCTTCTATAGACAAGGTTTTTGTTGGTTTGTTGTTTAACGTCGCACTGAGCAATATTCCAGCTATATGACGGCAGTCTGTAAGTAATCGAGTCTGGACCAGACAATCCAGTGATTGATAACATGAGCATTGATCCACGCAATTGGGATCGATGACATGCATCAACCAAGTCAGCGAGTCTGACCACTCGATCCCGTTAGTCGCCTCTTACGACAAGCACAGTATCCTTTTACAGCAAGCATGGGTTGCTGAAGACCTATTCTAACCCGGATCTTCACGGAACTTTTATGTTGTGCAGGAAAGGAACTACTGGTACGTATAATGCTAAGGCTAATGTGTGCTAGACAATTAGGATCATATCTGACGAAGATAAAATTTGCGTTCTTGTTGCAATCCCATACCTTTCACAGACAGTGATAGTAAAGAGTGATCTGGGCTGGTAACATTTTTTTTACGAGCCATCCTGGCCAGTGACTTTGGAAAACTAGCTCATACACTGCACACAACACCAACTCTTACACTGCACACAACACCAACTCTTACACTGTACACAACACTAACTCATACACTGCACACAACACCAACTCTTACACTGCACACAACACTAACTCATACACTGCACACAACACCAACTCTTACACTGCACACAACACTAACTCATACACTGCACACAACACCAACTCTTACACTGCACACAACACTAACTCATACACTGCACACAACACTAACTCATACACTGCACACAACACTAACTCTTACACTGCACACAACACTAACTCATACCCTGCACACAACACTAACTCATACACTGCACACAACACTAACTCATACCCTGCACACAACACTAACTCATACCCTGCACACAACACCAACTCTTACACTGCACACAACACTAACTCATACACTGCACACAACACCAACTCTTACACTGCACACAACACTAACTCATACACTGCACACAACACTAACTCATACCCTGCACACAACACTAACTCTTACACTGCACACAACACCAACTCTTACACTGCACACAACACTAACTCATACACTGCACACAACACCAACTCTTACACTGCACACAACACCAACTCTTACACTGCACACAACACCAACTCTTACACTGCACACAACACCAACTCTTACACTGCACACAACACTAACTCATACCCTGCACACAACACCAACTCTTACACTGCACACAACACTAACTCTTACACTGCACACAACACTAACTCTTTTCAACCAACCATTTATTGATAAGATCTGTAATAATTCTACCTGTTATGAAAATTCACCAAAATAGAAAGTGTCACCTTGACACGTGACCTTGACCTACCTTCATCTTCGCCAGGTTTTCCTCCAGCTGTTTCTTGGCCTTGTTGAGGTACTCAGTCTTGCGTCTTTGATCCACAAGTTTCTGGGAAAGTTCCGTGTGTGTACGGTCCGACTCATTCACCCGATGTCGCAGTTCTGTATTCGTCCTCACCAACTCCATGTTGCGAGATGATAAGCTTTCATTCTGCTTCTTAATCTGAAGCAAGAAATGTTGAGTGAGTGAGTGAATATGCTGCTAGTTATGCTGCTTTTAGAAATATTTCAGCAATATCACGGCATGGGACACCAGAATGGGCTTCACACATTTAACCCAAGTGGGGAATAGAACCCAGGCCTTCAGCATGACAGGCAAACGCTACAACCACACTACCCCGCTGCCGTAGGAAATGTTGATAAAATCACAGGATCATCTCCACAGAAAAAGAGAACACAATATTTAAACTTCTGAGGACATCTTAGTAGCTTCTTAAATAGCTACATGGGATGGGGGTTAAAACACTGCTTTAATTGCTTAAGGCCACAAGAAATTGTTGTCAAGTTATAATGCTTTTGACAACATAAGCCATAATGAATAGTCAATGATATGTGTGCAATAAGACTATTTATCATGTACCTATCAATGATATGAGGCAGTCTGCATGTAAGATAGAGCCAACATGAAGATGGTCATATCATAGGGGGTGTAATAACCAAACCCATATTACACCCACTTTCGGGCTGATATGGTAAGTCAATGCATTTTCAGTGGTAAGAAATTAGGGTTACGTCCGTTAGTACATCATCAGCTCATCTGTTCAGACAGCTTTCCCGTGACAATGACTTCCAAACAAGGTGAAAATGGTTTACTTTCACTTGCAAATAGATACATTTTACAATTTTATGTTATAGTATATGATAAAAAGGTTACTATATGGCGGTTTTCATATGATACTCCAATGCTGTCCAACACTGACAGTTGATTTTAGGATTTGAGAACTTGGTGATCCCATTAACTATGATCAGCGGATTCTGGCAAGCTAGGGGACATAATTCTGCCAATCAAGTCACCATGACTAACACCATCTGGCCATCCTATTCTTCCAGATCGCTGCAGAGTCACATGCATCTCTCGTGAAGAAATATGATCATTACAATAGAAGGAGGAGATTTTATGACACTTCGTGTGGTTTGGTTTGGAGAATGTGCAAATCTACTGGTAGTATGGGGGGCTCTCTCCCATGAACGAACATTCTTTGGAGGAAGTGAGGTGAAATGTGGTTAACCTTGCAGTTATTGCACTTACTAACAATGTGTATACACATGTATGTGTGGCTGCTTATGCCAGTTTTATAGTGCTAGCCCACTGAGATACCATGCCACAGTTTTACATGGATACCCCACTCTGACACAGTGTACTGACTTCGAGCTGACCAGTCCTTGTTTTAGCCCACTGAGATACCATGCTGCAGTTTAACATGGATACCCCACTCTGACACAGTGTACTGACTCCGAGCCGACCAGTCCTTGTTTTAGCCCACTGAGATACAATGCTGCAGTTTAACATGGATACCCCACTGACACAGTGTACTGACTTCGAGCTGACCAGTCCTTGTTTTAGCCCACTGAGATACAATGCTGCAGTGTAACATGGATACCCCACTCTGACACAGTGTACTGACTTCGAGCCGACCAGTCCTTGTTTTAGCCCACTGAGATACCATGCTGCAGTTTAACATGGATACCCCACTCTGACACAGTGTACTGACTCCGAGCCGACCAGTCCTTGTTTTAGCCCACTGAGATACAATGCTGCAGTTTAACATGGATACCCCACTGACACAGTGTACTGACTTCGAGCTGACCAGTCCTTGTTTTAGCCCACTGAGATACAATGCTGCAGTGTAACATGGATACCCCACTCTGACACAGTGTACTGACTTCGAGCCGACCAGTCCTTGTTTTAGCCCACATAGATACAATGCTGCAGTGTAACATGGATACCCCACTCTGACACAGTGTACAGACTCTGAGCCGACTAGTACCTGAGATACCATGCTGCAGTGTAACATGAATACCCCACTCAGACACACTATTCTGACTCCGAGCCGACCAGTCCTTGTGTTATCCCCTTAATGTCAAGCGCCAGGAAACAAGCACCATCTTTAACATTAGCATTTAGAGGCATAACACAGCCAAGGATAGAACTGCTCTTGGGGGAGACGCTGTCTCCGCTAGACCACCAGTTACTATGAACATTAAACAGACATGTAGAGCAAGAGAAGTATAACTGGTACAAGCATCATAACAACTTTATCACAGTAAAGTTGGATAAATGACTGGTTAGCAATGCCTGTGTCGTACCTCTCCCAGTTCCTTGGAGTTCTTCTTCAAGGATTTGTCCCTCTCTTTCCTCAGCTCTTCTCGCAGGGAGGACATCTTGCTTTCGAAGTTCTTCATCTCCAGCCTCATCTCTTCCTGGTCCTTGTTCCTGTCACCATAGCAACAACAATGTCCATACAAACTTGACCAACCAACACAACCAATATATAGTTGAGAAAACATTTTACTGCTGTCCTGTTATTGTTGAGACAAAGCCTACACACAAGCAAAGTTTTCAACATGGACGTTCTACGTCTAACTTTAATTATATATAAACATCAGTGTGTGGAACACATTTTGAAAATTTTACAAAAAAAAATCTATTTATATACTGATCCTATCTCACACTATGCATTTCTCATTCTTCTTTCGATCCTAAGTGGAAACATGCCAAAACAAAGGTTTCCAACTTCTAAAAAACAATTCACCCAAACACACCTAGCATCACCATGGTCACCTCCCAACCATCTGGGTCACACATACTCTGTATGCTGATTGTCCTACACACACAGACACAGGATTTCCCCAGCCAACTCAGGCTCTTTATTGTCATGAAGGGGTACGTACTTCTGACTGCGGAGCTGCGTGATCTGCGTGTCTCTTTTCCCCAGCTCAACCTGTAGGCTCTCCACCAGTGTCTGTAGCTGAGAGTGTGACGCCATCACCGCCTCAAGGGTGCTGGTGATCTCACGATTGACAGTCTTGGCGGATTCAAGATTCTTGTGATAGCTGACACCCTGGTAATGAACACACAAAGCCATTTAGAAAGTGGTCAAATGTAACAAATGTTAAATTTGGGACTCACACAAAGTCAGCAATCTAACCCACTCAGCCACCGAGACTTCCACAAAAAATGAAAGTCTAACAACTGGTAGTCTAGATCACATACTTTGTGTACCTCTCTGACAAGTGTAAATTGGCACTGCTCCTATGGCCAAAAGGTATGAACACACAATGCCATAGAAATCTGGGTGGCTGAAAGGGTTGGATCGCTGACTTCGTGTGCTGGCGATGGGGTGCTCCACTCTGGCAGTGTGGGTTCAAATCCCGGACGGGACTCAACCCCAAAATATATGAGAATAACATTTGTTACACCCTGGAAATGTTTTAAAAAATCAACCTAGTTTATGAAACTTTAACAAGATGAGGTGAGGGGTTACAGCCAGGTTACCACCACATCCTCACTACCACTAGGATGTCAGCCAGCTCATACAAGCATAAGGGGCTGGAGACCTATTCTTTAACATATTGGCTATCATCACTGACGAGTTATCCCAACTTCTTTGAGAGGCATTTGAGAGTTATCCCAAGATGAAACTTACTAAACCTGGCTTGTGATAAACTACACACTTGAAAGTGTCTGAATCTAAGTTGGTCCTTCTGGTATTTCGCCATAGCATCATATTTCAGCGACAGCTGTATATTTCTTAATTTAATATGAGGGTTATGACAAGGACACCTAGGCTCCCATTTCCAACTTTTGTTGCCTTGATTATCCCGGGTATTAAATCTGCATTATGATGAATAACCTAAAATACCCTAGACCCATTTGCTTCCATACTTTCATCTTCAACCCATTTTAAATTACATGATGCTACAGACAGCCATCCAATCTAATTACACTCATGTGATGGAGAAAGTTTGTGCTAAGTCAGTTGTAAGAGAGAAGACAGTGGTGGTGACATTTTGGCCAATCATCTATGAGTGAGGTTAAACGCCACTTTGAACAGTATTCCACTTATATTACAACATGTCAGCTTGATGTGGAAGGAACGCTCAAAGTGATGCAAGTCTCAGACGTTTACCACTGATGTAAAACCCACAAGCACAGGTATGGTGCTGACAAACCTAAGAACAATCGGGGCGAAACAGGATTCCAATCCACAATGCAAGCTTTCTGGCATGCCCAAGGGACATAACTCTGCAAAGCAAATTGCTGCATCTCAGACGAGTGTGCATGTTTAAACTCCTGTTGATGGTAAAACAACAACTGCAGTTGCCAGCAAGCCCACCTTGTGTTTATCGCGGTCATCCATGGCCTGTACGTGGGCCCCGAGTTTGGACATGTCCTTCTCCAGCTGTTCCCGGGTGTAGGTGACGGTCTGAAGCTGCTGGTCCTTGTGCTGGATCAGCTCCTGGGACAGGCGGTGCTGGTTCTCCAGACACTGGATAGCCACCTTCAGCTCACTCACCTCCTTCTGGGCCTGGAACACACACACTTATCTGAACATGCTGAGACATATATCGCCTCAAGTCTGAAGCGAATGTCGTCAAATATTCTCAAATGGGAACCAAAATAAATTACAATTTTGTAGAATTTTCCTATTCGGAATATTCTATAAGTAATACGTTACCACTGTTATACCGAGGCTGTTGTCTCCCACAACTGCTGCTATAGCGAAATCTACCACAGAGATCTCAATTACCTCATGCAGCACGTGCGTAGCCACCTAGCTGCCATGTGACACCCTTCACTCTTGTCTCCTGCGAGAGCAAGCGCTCGGGGGACGGACGGGCGGGCAGCAGCCCAGTGGTAACGTATTACTTATAGAATATTCCGAATAGGAAAATTCTACAAATTACATTAAGTAATACGTTACCACTGTTATACCGAGGCTGACTACCACAGTAGGCGGCGGGGAGCACCTACAACCCGAATCCTGACTGCTAGCGTTCCTTCCGACCAGCGAAAGTAAACACCAAGGCGGAAGCACTCGATGCGCATGCACCTAGCTAGGCGTTACCCTATAGGAATACCAAAGCACTGTCAAGCGCATACCATAAGGCTCAATCGTCATTGCCAAAACGATTGGTGACTCCAAACGGCCCCACTGGATAGGTATTTCATCGCCGCAGCGGATGAGAACACTGTATCCGCGTGAGCTAAATCTTAGATCAGGTTAAACAGTCGAAAAGAGGGAAATTAATTTCCTTCAGACCGTATATCCCAGAGCAAGCCTACTTAAAGTATGCATTAGACGCGTGACCTAATTCCAGTATTCGTAAGCATGTATCGCAAGGTTGGAATACACGACAGACAATTAAATGCATAATTGTCAAAATACAAATAAGGACAAAACACACAAAAAGCCGCCTCACCTGTGGTGTGAGTGCGCTGGTTTGCAGGACCCCCACTCCTGTACCCACGGCGTGGGAACATTGGAGACGACCCAGATTAACCACCATGCAAGGACTGACGACTGCGGAGTTTGGAATTGCGCTGGACACACCCCCTAGATGACTGTTTGTGCCGCGATCAGCGGCCCAAGACGGTGCACCCCCTCCACGTCTTCATCAGAAACCTTTCTGAGGTAATGATTGGCAAAAACCGAGTCAGAATGCCAGTAACAACCTCGTAATATTCTGTGAACAGAGATATTCGAGTGTAGGGCAAATGTTGCCGCTAGCGCCCTGATCTCGTGCGGGTATGACCCCGCTACCGGTAACCCCCGAGACTGGTACGCCAGATTGATGACAGAACGAAGCCACAACGCAATCGAGTTGCGAGTTATGTCAACCGTGCGATTAGGGTTACACGATATGAACAGACGGTCACGCCCTTGTCTACGTTCATTCCAAGCCTTAAGATAATACTTAAGGGCCCTAACCGGACACAGCGCTCTGTCCTCAGTATCAGCAGGATGTAAGATTTCTTTGAGTGATCTTACAGTGAATTCTCTCTCCGTTTGCCCGACTCTCTGATTCTTGGCGACGAAGCCAATGAGCAGGCCCAGGCGGACCGCTCCTTCGTCACCCCTATCGAATCGTACCTTGGCGACATCGAGTGCATGAATTTCGGATACACGTGCCGCCGTGGCAAAGGAGAGGAGAAATGCTGTTTTCCAAGTCACATGCCGGAACGAAGCACTATGCAAGGGTTCATACGGAGCTTCCGTAAGTGATTGCAACACTAGGGAAAGATCCCAGGCCGGTGCCCGAAGGCGGCCCTTCTTAAGATCGTGCTGTTTGAAACCCTTGATAATACCCCGTATCACCGGCTCTTTGGAGAGACTGGTACCCATAGCAACGTCCCGTACCGTAGCAACGGACGAGACATAGTTGGCAATGGAACCCTCGGAGAGTTTCCGGGTCTCTCGCAAGTGAGACATGAAACGAGCAATATCCTGCACAGATACCTTATCTGGCGAATGAATGTGATGTTTACAACACCACTTCGTGAAAATAACCCAACGTGCATTATACACCTGCTGGGTAGAATCACGATGCATACTAACGTATGCCCGAGACGCCCGGCGAGAAAAACCTTTACTCCTCAGACGCTCGGTGACAACATCCACGCGTGCAGATTGAACTGCCCTGCGTTTGGATGAAGCTGACGGGTGTGAGGGTGGATCAAGAGATCCGGTCTCACAGGCAGTGGGAGTGGCGACTGCGTGACCTGGGTCAGCAAGTCGGGGTACCACGATCTGTTCGGCCACATAGGCGCGATCAGTAACATTCGACAGCGAACTCCTCGGAGCCGGCTTAGAATGTGTGGTATCAACGCTGTCGGCGGGTAAGCATAAGCGTCCAAGCCCGTCCAGTCTAACGTGAGAGCATCGTGATCGATGGCCCTCGGGTCCGGGACTGGTTATAAAAACAACAGGAGAACAGGTCGACCATCGGACGACCCAAACGTTCGCACAGCCACTGAAACACTACTGGGTTCAGCATCCACTCTGTGGGGCTCGGATCCTGAGGCCTCGATAGAGCATCGGCCAGTACGTCCGCACACCTGGGATGTGACGGGCGCGTATCTGGCACGGGACACTGTCCACCAGAGCGTAAAACTCGAACGTGAGATCGAGTAGCGAGTGACTGTGGGTTCCCCCCAGTTTGTTCACATAGGACACTACCGTCGTGTTGTCGGTCGCCAGCATGAGCCGGGCGTCGACGAGACGATGCTTCCAGTGACTGCGTTGATCACTGCCTTGAACTCGAGACAATTGATGTGAAGACCTAGTTCGTCTACGCACCACAGCCCCGAGCTCACCTCCCCCTCTAGATGGGCGCCCCAGCCCACTAGAGAAGCGTCTGTATACAGGTTCAACGTGGCCCGGTAGGGCCGCATAGAGACTCCTGATAAGACATTGTAAGGGACCGTACACCACTCCAGATGCGGTCGGAGCCGATCCGGGAGGGCGACTGTCGCACTGTTCACCTCCGTTGCTAACAACTGGATTAAAAACCGTTGCAGCGGGCGGAGTTGGAGACGACCCCGTTCGGTGCAGTCCTGGGCTGATACAAGTAGCCCTAACAGCTGTTCCCAAAAGTGAACAGTCTGTTGCACCGCTAAGACTTTGGCAATCATCGCCTGAATCTTGTGCCACCGGTCTGGGGGGACAAATAGGCAATGGGACACCGTGTTGAACCGACCTCCGATGAACTGCAAGTTCTGAGAAGGGGTTAACTCGCTCTTGGGGAGATTGACAATCCACCCCAATTGCTCCAAGAGCCGACGTGCGAAAACAAGATGGCGTGACAGGGTGTCCCTCATTCGATTTGCTACTAGCGAGTCGTCCAGGTACGCGAAGTACCGGACACCCCTCCGGTGGAGGAACCCCACTATGGGGGTGGTTAACCGGGTGAACAGCCAGGGAGCGGATGAAAGACCGAATGGGAGTACAACCCACTCGTAGTGCCTGCCTTGAAAGACAAACCTGAGATACTTGTGATGATCCGTGTGAATCGGAACATGCAGATAAGCATCCTTCAGGTCGATTGAAGCTAGCCAGTCGGCCGGCATGATCAGTGCTTTCAGGTCCGTCAAGCTCAACATTCTGAACTTGGGCGGCTTGCGCAGGTAGAACTCGTTGAACGATTTCAAGTTGTGAATCATTCTGAGTTCGGCACTGTCCTTCTTGGGAACGAGAAATATCCTGGAGTAAAACCCCGGTGTTATTTCTGGTAGAGCTAACTCCCGAACTGCCCTCTTCTCCACCAACCTGCCGATGGCATCGGCGAGGAAGGGAAGATCGGTTTCCGAATAGAAACCTGCCGACGGGGCAACGGTGAGCAGCGGATTCGCTTTGAGATCGAGCCGATAGCCGTACAGAATCGTGTTGACCACCCACGGGTCGTCGAACACTTGTTCCCAAGTCTGATTAGAGTCTGGCACCCACTGGGGAAAGAGAGGGGGGCCTGACGGGCTGCGGCAGGCGCAACTGTCCAGGGCCAAGTGACTCGGGTTCGCCTACGGGCCAACCGAAGTTGGCGCTGTCGGCATACGAACCCCTCCAATGAGAGTCACCTGGAGGGGCCCTTGCCGTCCTTAGACGACTTGGGCTTCCCCCAGTTCCCCTTCTTCCCACGAAAGGGCTGCTGAGAACCCTTACCGGAGCCCTCAGAGCGGGGCTTCTTCCCGGAGGAAGAAGGACCCGACCCCTTAGGCCTGCCGGACGCAGCATCCTGGGGCGCGCTCCGCTTCGGAGCGGCACCCAGGCGCCCATGCAAGGACCCCACAAGATCCAGTGTGTGCCGAGAGGCCTCGGCAGACACAGCGGCCTGTTGTTCCTTCAGAACCCCAGGGATCTTGTTATTAAACAATGTTCGAGCAGACCAAGGCTACGAAAGGAGCACCTCCTGATTGGCAGCGTCCAACCCTGAAGCAACCAGATACGACTGGCGCCGAAGAAAATGGCACGTGCCGGAAACAAAGGCCGAAGCCCCGGCAACGTACTCCAGGGAAGCATTTAAACCGAGCAAGCAGTTGTAAATGCGCTGGTCTCGGTCCGTAGGAGAACCTTCGACCAGACTGGCCGCTGCAGCCAGGTATGTGTCTCCGTGAGACATTGCCAGCATGGAGTGTCGAGCGAGGGTGTCCAGCTGTTGCAAGGTACCTTGTGGTACCGTGGCAACCGGGGGGGCACGGACCCCCAAACGCTCCACATGGGCTTCCGCAGAAGGACCAGCCTCGGGAAAGGCAAGGTCATGTACTGGGAAAGACCCTTTTCTCCACGACGGGGGAGGTAACGGGAGACCCCGACCGGAGGCAGCCGTGAAGGCCTTCTCCAAAGAAGGCTTAATCCCGCGCAGCAAGGTTGATGCTGGGAAAGCCTTGCCGGACATCTCGTCGTACACCTCGGAGGAACCCACGGAACCTTGGATTCCCCGCGGTATCGTCAGGGGCTTTGGCATGTCCGCGAAGAGGTCATAAACCATGGCCACGCGGTCCTTAACCGATAGCGGAAGCAACGGTTCGGGG